TTTAAATAAATGTCTTTAATAGTTATTGAGATATGTAAAACTTGCATGTAAACATTAACCAAGAGACTAAGCAGAAAAGGGGAGATGAATCAGCCTAAATGCAAGATAGAGTTATGGAACTTGGTCAGTGACATACAATTATGACCCTAAGTACATATGTAAAGTTTCAAGTAAATATCTTTGAAGTTTCTAAGTTTCCAAGTTTCAAAGGGGCAAATAATTCTGCAAATATTGCAGGCAGAGTTATGCAATTTTGCAAACTGATGTACATTGTTACTATAAAAAAGTATTGTAAATTTCAATTGAATATCTCAAGCAATAATTGAGATATTTGACTTTAGCAAACTTTCTAAGTTAAAAAGGGGCATAATTCTGTAAATATTGTAGGCAGAGTTATCCAACTTGTCAATCTGGTGTACATTTTTTCTATAAATAAGTATTGTAAGTTTTAATTGAATATCTCAAGCAATGATTGAGATATTTGACTTTACAAAAAACTTTAACCAAAATTTCAAAGTTAAAAAGGTGCATAATTCTGTCAATATTGTAGGCAGAGTTATCCAACTTGTCAATCTGATGTACCTTGTTACTATAAATAAGTATTGTAAGTTTCAATTGAATATCTCAAGCAATAATTGAGATATTTGACTTTACAAAAAACTTTAACCAACGCAGACGCGGACTCTGGGGCAACTACAATAGCTCTTATATTCTTCGAATAGTCAAGCTAAAAAGGAATTTTGCTGTATTATAAATTCGTCATAAAGATTCCTGACATGTTATACGGTTATATACACGGCTTCTATCACTTTATTAAGGTTCTGCAGTAGAAGGTGTTAAAAGGTTTTTCTATTTTTAGCTTAAGCAGCCCCTAAAAGGGGGCTAATCAAATGAGTATGAGCAAACTTGATAAAAGATTACCCAAAAATGCTACAGACAAAGTTTGGTGATCATCCATCAATTAATTCTGTAGGAGAAGATGTTTAAAAGTATTTCTCTATTTTTAATTTAAGCGGCCCCTTAAAGGGGCTAATCAAATTAATATGAGCAAACTTAATAAAAGACAACCCAATAATGCTACAGACAAAGTTTGGTGATCATCCATCAATTAGTTATGTAGCAATAAATGTTTAAATGTATATCTATTTTTAATTTTAGTGACCCCTAAAAAGGGGCCAATCAAAATAATATGAGCAAACTTGATAAAAGACTACCCAACAATGCTTCAGACAATGTTTGGTGATCATCCATCAATTAGTTCTGTAGAAATAGACATTTAAAGGTATTTCTATTTTTAGCTTTAGCGGCCCCTAAAAGGGGCTAATCAAATTAATATGAGCAAACTTGATAAAAGACTACCCAAGAATGCTACAGACAAAGTTTGGTGATCATCCATCAATTAGTTCTCTAGAAATAGACATTTAAAGGTATTTCTATTTTTAGCTTTTGTGGCCCCTTAAAGGGGCCAATCAAATCAATATGAGCAAACTTGATAAAGCACTACCCAAGCATGCTACATACAAAGTTAGATGACTATCCATCAATTAGTTCTATAGGAGGAGATGTTAAAAGCTTTTTCTAATTTAGCCCTAGAGACCCCTTGATAAAAGACTACCCAAGAATGCTGCAGACAATGTTTGGTGCTCATCCACCAATTAGTTCTCTAGAAATATACATTTAACGGTATTTCTATTTTTAGCTTTAGGGGCCCCTAAAAGGGGCCAATCAAATTAATATGAGCAAACTTGATAAAACACTACCCAATAATGCTACAGACAAAGTTTGGTGATCATCCATCAATTAGTTATGTAGCAATAAGTGTTTAAATGTATATCTATTTTTAATTTTAGTGACCCCTAAAAGGGGACAATCAAAATAATATGAGCAAACTTGATAAAAGACTACCCAACAATGCTTCAGACAATGTTTGGTGATCATCCATCAATTAGTTCTGCAGAAATAGACATTTAAAGGTTTTTCTATTTTTAGCTTTAGCGGCCCCTAAAAGGGGCTAATCAAAATAATATTAGCAAAGTTGATAAAAGACTACCCAAGAATGCTGCAGACAAAGTTTGGGGATCATCCATCAATTAGTTCTCTAGAAATATACATTTAATGGTATTTCTATTTTTAGCTTTTGTGGCCCCTAAAAGGGGCCAATCAAATTAATATGAGCAAACTTGATAAAACACTACCCAAGAATGCTACAGACAAAGTTTGATGATCATCCATCCATTAGTTCTGTAGAAGAAGATGTTTAAAGGTTTTTCTATTTTAAGCTCTGCTGACCCCTAATAGGGGCCAATCAAATTAATATGTGCAAACTTGATAAGACACTTCCCAAGAATGCTACAGACAAAGTTTGGTGATCATCCATCCATTAGTTATGTAGAAGATGTTTAAAGGTTTTTCTATTTTTAGCTCTGCTGACCCCTAAAAGGGGCCAATTGGAATGACATGAGCAAATTCAAGAGTGACTGTCACAAGGATGCTACAGACCAAATTTGAAGTAAATCTGCCCAGTAGTTTCAGAGAAGAAGACGATTGTTGACGCATGACGACGGACGATGGACGCTGGAGCATCCCCCTTTGATACTAATAGCTCACTTGAGCCTTCGGCTCTAGTGAGCTAAAAATGAAGCTTAAAAGAGTTATGGTTCTTTTGCATTGCACTTCTACTCAATGAGATCTATCTACCTACAATGTTTCATCTTGATATCTCTTATAGTTTTAGAGTTGTGTTCCGGACAAAGTTCAAAGTGTTAAAATTAACAAAGGGCAATAACTCCAAAATTAGGACAAAAAGAGTTATTGTTCTTATGCATTGCACATCTACCCATTGAGATCTATTGACCTACAAAGTTTCATGTTGATATCTCTTATAGTTTTGGATTTATGTCCCGGACAAGATTTTTCTGTAAGGGGAGATAATTAAAAAAACCGGGCAAAATAGAGTTATGGTTCTTTAACACTGCACTCCCCATCAATGCCCTTTACCACTGTATGAAGTTTAAACAAATTATCTCCAAGGGTTTTCAAGTTATGCTCCGGACAAGACAACAGACAGTGCCGACTATATGCTCCCCCGAAATTTTTCGGGGAGCATAAAAAAAGACCACTAATGGCAATAAGACAAAATATCTTCACTTATATAGTTGTAACATATGGAACCTACTTTCCAGTGAAATAGTTTTATCAAAGAATGTAAATGAGTTCAAATCAAAATTAGATGAACAGTGGAAAAGATTCAAAATTGACAATATCTATTGACTAGACCAATACCGGAGCGGAAGACAATGAAAACAGAACTCGAGGGGAATGATAGTCCGTTAGGGGACTAATAAAGTTTCCCATACATCACAAGGTATCACAAAGTATAATACTGCATGTTTTTAACGTTGCTTTTCATTGGATATGACGTTTATATAGTTTGATATACACGGCTGCTGTCGATTCATGAAGAAATCTTACTTTTTTCTCTAAAAAATGATGCTTGCTGTATTATAAATTCGTTATTAAGATTGTTGACAGGTTATATGGCCGTACATAAACGGCTGTTTGCAATATTACCCTCGCCTAGCGGCTCGGGTTATATTTACAAATAGCTGTTTATATAGGGCCATATAACCTGTCAACAATCTTTATAACTAATAATATACACGGCTGCTGTCATTTAATGAAGAAATCACTTTTTCTTTAAATAAGAAAGTAAGCTGTGTTATAAATTCAATATAAATATTCCTGACATGTTATATGACCCTATATAAATGTTTTTTTGCAATATAACCCTCGCCTAGTGGCTCAGGTTATATGTACAAACAACCGTTTATACAGAGTTATTTAACCTGTCAAAAATCTTTATGACCATTAATATAAACGGCAAGATTATCCAATGAAAAGCGATGTAACATAAAACCTCAATCTTAACAGTGATATCACCAATCTCTACACAGTGATCTCCCTTTAATTCTTCGCATAGACTGTCTCACGTGATCTAACGGTCATGTCACACACTTCGTGGCAATGGTTACTGTATTGATAAAGGGAAGTAACCACTGCGAGGAGTTTGTAACATCACTGCAGAGATATATTTCAATAATGTGTGCATTTATATGACAACAGGAACTGCAACAGGAGACTGTTTTCTTTTAAAAATTACAGAATGGTGTATATTTGACGGTTTTTAAAATTTTTATTAAAATTATCACAAATGTTTCCATGCTCGAAGTAGTTATTCTGTATAATCACTATATGTATATACTATCCATGTAGACATATAGGTATACAATTTACATGAATGTGTAGATTGAGTAAATAATATATTCCATTGCAAACCACTGTCTTCTTATTTTCTTACAGGAAAGTCTTATTAAATAAAACAAGTCACAAGACCAAAACAATAAATTGTAGACTCAATAACAAATTATTAAAATTATTCACTTATATTTGATTTGACCTTCAAATACTTCATGTGCTATAGACTAAATAGGTCTTTATTTGAAACAGAAAATTAATATATATAAAACACAATGAAATTTGATTACAAGAAAAGTCAAAATTATTTTTTTTCTCAAAAACATTTCTTTCCTCCCAAGATAGATTAACAAACATATGATATAAAAAACATATGTGATAATTTCATCTTGATGTGAAATGTTTGCTATCCATTATTTTGCTCCCTTCAAAATTATTAAATAGAGGATATTTGTTTAATTTAATGTAGGTCTAATATCGGAATATATTTCACCAAGTGAGCACCAAAAGGTATATTTCACGAGTGGCGCAGCCAAGAGTGAAGTATGAACTTTTGGTGTTCACGAGGTGAAATATATTTCGATCTTACACTAAACTAATCAAATTTTCTTTTTATTATATGCAGAGAAACGTTTAAAAAGACAGTTTAACCTAATACTAAATGAAAAGCGCGCCAAATAATAATAAAACGAGACGTCATTTATGAAGACGTCACGTCATTAAGCTGGTTTCCAGTACTGTGCACGCTGACGAAACAGTGAAATTATCAGTTTTTTATTTCACTGATATATTTCTATTAACCACCGAAAAGCATGTAATAAAATCAAATAATTCCTACGTATTCAAATAAAATGTTGTCTTTCATGTTCAATAAAAAAATATTAGTATTTCGTTGCATATCTGCTTGTTGGAAGAAAAAAAACTGTAAAATTGTTAAACAAGTTATCACTGTAATGATTTAAAGACATTAACTTAGTAAATAAAGTTATTTCTATTTTGCTTCATTTTTAAATATAGCAAATGCATAATAAAACATATAAAAACAATTCATATCATATAAGCTGTCAATTAAAGCAACGTTTGTTCTGTAATTAGTAATTTCAGTTTTGAGCTAACTTCACCCTACAGTACAAATGTTTCATAATTATCCACATTTTACAACAACAAATATATTCTAAATACACCTTGATAATTTATTTCCCTCACATGATTTTGCATAAAATAAGTTAAACTTTAGTTTGCATATTCAATCAATGTATTTTCTTCTTCTCTTATTCTAACATATGCTTCTATATTTTTTCGTTTTGATTTCCATACTAAAATTATAGTATTATTTTGAGAGCATAGTAGAAGTGAAGATCTGTTGTAATATTTGAGGCAAGTTTTTCGTGTCCAGACAGATAAATGCATGACCCATTGGTAGCTGTTTGTGTAATCTGGAAAACAAAACATAATCAAGACTTTATTATCTACCTAACTATTGTTTGCTATTGTTTTGTTCAAGTAAACTTACTGAAAGATAGATGTACATGTACATACCCTGCAAAGATGCTTCACAAAACATTATTCAGTGAGTAAATCTATCCAATAATGAACATCATTTAAAGCCAAATTATAAAACTATGAATATTTGAAAAAAAAAGTGATCCCTCGGAAGCATCAAAAACAGCAAAATTACATGAAAATTGCAGACTCGGTTTAATTGAGTCGGTACATGCGGGATAATGAAATAGTACAAAATCCCTCACAACCCCTGGCACCAGCATGAGCGGTACTCAATTTTCAACAGTTCAAAGTGCTGGACTCAATGATATGAAGATATAAAACAAGGAAAAGGTCAAAAAGTAGTGTAAAACAAGATTACATTTGTAAAAAAAAAATCTTTCCTACACATTAATACAACAGTAAATAGTAGAAACAGAATAAGATTTTTTTTATTGCTTCTATACAAATGAACTTTGCAATAATGCAGTAGTGTCTAGTGAATTTTGGGGTCAAGGTCATATTTCATCACATCATAATTAAAATCAATTAAAACACTTTACCTGACAGCTTGATCACCCAGTGATCCTATAAATATAGCATACGCATTCACTTTCTCATCACTTCGTAAAATCTGACCAAACCTAGCTGGTGAGATACCGTATCGATCAAAGTTAGCATCACTTAAAATAATGAGGAATCTTTCATCCGCTTCTTCTCTTGCTAAAGTATTGACAGCATGACGTGTAGCTTCTAGAGTTGTGTCTCCACTCATACAGAACTGAGAGTGAGCGTGCATTGTCTGATTATATCAAAATAAATAATAACCAGTAAGTCATAATAAAACATGAACCACATTTCAATATATTTTCTTCTGGACAATTTAGTCATAAAAAAATGTCACATGAATGTATTTCAAAATTTTGTAAGAATTGGTTATTAGTGTTGTAAGGATTAAATGACTTTCAACAGTATTAACCACTATGAGGATGCTTTTCTTGTCGTCATCAGGGTTCTCAATAACAGCAGGTAACAGGCCAAAATGACTGGCTGTAATCATGATTTGGCCTGTTGAAACTTTATAAGATACAGTTTTCTTACTTTTATGCAGAAAATTGTTGTTTTAATTACACAAAAGGCCAGCTGGAATTTGCTTTTTGACAGCTCATGAAATATTTACTGAGAACCCTGCCATCATTATTAACAATGCCATTCAACAAACTGCCTGTATTATAAAACAAGATCTTCAACAAAGGTTACAGCAGATTACAAATCTTTCCAATGACTGAACTTATTTCTAAATATTAAGTTTATTATCTGAAAATATTTTCACAAATTGTTTTTATTACCTTGACAACCTTTAATCTTTCTTTGTTATTTTTTGGTGGTTTATCAAAACTAGTGAGTTCTACTTTATGATCTTCACCAGAATGACCCACTATATCAAACTGTAAAATAAAGGTGAACATAGTCATATACTGATTACTCATTCCTAAAATTACAACTTTAACCCTTATATCAAACATCATATTTTACAGGAAGCAAATCAGGTCGAGTTCTATCAATGAAATTTATTTTTGCAAAATTAATCCTTATCCACATCCACAAAAATGATCAGTAAATAAAAAGTTAAATCTAAAAGTTAGTTTTCGCGTTTTCAGGTTATGCTCCGGACAAGATTTTTCTAAAAGGGGAGATAATTCAAAAATGGGGCAAAAATAGTTATGTTTCTTTGGCAATACCTCAATGCCCTCTACCACTATGTGCAGTTTAAACAAATTATATCCAGGGGGTTTCAAGTTATGCACTGGACAGACAATGAACAGATAGATGGACAAATGACGATTAGACAGACAAACAAGGTGGCAACTTTATGCTCCCTGAAATTATATGCTCTCCCTTTGGGGAGCATAAAAAGCATATTTATGATTATTTATTTCTAATAAACAACGAGATAACTGCAGTAAACCTTTATTTTGTCCTCATATCCTTCTAGAGCCTCCATCGACATAATGACTGTTTCCATCTCTCTCTCTAGTCTACCATCATGTCCGTTAAATCTGTACATACTACCTGATACATCTACCAATAATCGTAACTTCTTAGGTAATTCTTGCTTAGCACCCATCTGAATATACATAATGAAAAAATATATAGTAATAGAATTTTATACTGTTCTTCACACTCTTTAAATTATTTAACTTTATTTAGAGGTAGTATTTTAAGGCACGATGAATGACACTTCCACTTGCTTATTGCATTTTGACCATTTACCTGATGGGGAAGGAACAAAGATACCACTACAGAAATGTTTGATATGCAAGTACTAATGTAAAACCATAAACCTCACAAAAGAGGTATACAACTTTAGCCATTCTTAGCCATTGAGACCCTCAGTACAGTTGGTTGTCAATAAAAATTAAATGTCAAAATAGTCAGCTAAAGTATGGCTTTTAACCTTTTGTTCTTGTCGGAAACAACAAAAGATCAGATAAAGCATCACAATTTCAAAATTTAAAATCATGAAGTAACATATCTAGCCGCAAAATTGAGATGTATATCTTTATCATTATAAAGAAATAACTTACGATGGTAGAAAATATATAAAGTTACAAAGTTTGAAATTACTTAGCTATTTTAACATTGTTATATACAACATACCTCTGGTTCTTTTTCACCTCGTCGTTTATACACAGTTTTCTCCCCTGTCAGACCATCAATTAGTTTAGCATCATCTAAATCACCGTATGTCTGGTTTTTCAACCACTGACGCTCTTTACTCTTTGCCTAAATTTCATTAAAGTGCCATGTTTATGAATAATGCAAGACAAATTACCAAAAGATAAAAATAAAGTTCTTTCAAAACATTTAGAAATAAGTCAATTCAATTCAACCATAAAAGGCAAATTTGTGTGATTTTTTTAAGAAGCTTCCACGTCGGTTTTCAAAAATGAAAACAAAATGAAAACAAATGATACAGATAAAGTAATATTTTGTTTACTCTGCAAGAATAACACAGTATAATCAAATATAGATACATGTACCAAGTACTGAGTATTGCATATAAGACGAATGTTTCATTATCAATTATAATTTACTGATGGTCCGCCTGGACTCCTTGCCACTGGTTCTGGGTCATATGGGGGTTGCGTTAATTGAACACCGCCTTTCCTTGTTGATCTTGTTTATCATATTTAATGCTAAAAGTATAGAAAGTACATAAAACCAACTGCATTCCTGCAATACATAGATAAATGTTAACACATTTACCTGTAGACTGTCTATGATCACTCGGAGTGACTGAACCTGTCTTCTCACATGACCAGCAAAATTCTCATACGTCTCGGCATCATACTCACTCATCTGTATTTCCTTTAATCTGAAAAATTACCATATTACTAATTCTTGATTTAGAAATTAATCATAGAAGCCATTTGCTGCTCTTGTTTCTCATTGTTTTACTTTTGAGTTTTAATGACAATGATTTTATCATAATTATGTTGACTTTTCTGCTATACTAGTCGAGGAAGACTTTAGGTACATTGTTCAGACATGTATATGTGATTCAGACAAGAACCTCAGTTTTCATGTATGCTAACTGACTAAGGAGTAACAAAGGTACTACATGTACAAATAACTTGTACGTGTAGACACCCTTCAAACATTTGGTAATTTCATGAAAACAAGCAAATTCGTTGAATTTATATCCCCCGCTGAGTACTGGTTATTATTAACACAACAACTGAAGACATAAGGCTTTATTTATATATTAATCATGGCATAAACAGTAATATTCTTTGAACTTGATAAATATTCAGGGCAATAACAGAGCCATAACTTTGTGTTAAATAGTAATATCTGGAAATGCCAATGAGATGTATGCATACTACATAACTAATAAAGGGCCATAAATCTGAGTTATAAGTATCTGACCGGAACAAGGCGACTATATGCACATCTCCTCTTAGTATCCCATAAAGTTTCATTGAATTCCAGCCAGTAGTTACAGAGAAGTAGCACTGAAACGATTATTGCTCTGGTTGTATACTGCCTAAGTTATCAAGGGTCATAACTCTAAGTTAAAATGTCTGACCCGAACAAGGCGACAATATGCGCATCTCCTCTTGGTATTGAAGGTTCCAATAAAGTTTCATTGAATTCCAGCCAGTAGTTGCAGAGAAGTAGTGAGGAAACGAATATTTTTCTATATGGATACTGCATAACTAATCAAGGGCCATAACTCCGAGTTAAAGTGTCTGACCCCAACAAGGCGACAATATGCGCATCTTCTGTTGGTATTGAAGGTTCTCATAAAGTTTCATTGAATTCCAGCCAGTAGTTGCAGAGCAGTAACGCGGTAACGATTTTTGCTCTATATGCATACTGCATAACTAATCAAGGGCCATAACTCTGAGTTAAAGTGTCTGACCGGAACAAGGCAACGATATGCGCATCTCCTCTTGGTATTGAAGATTCCCATAAAGTTTTGTTGAATTCAAGCCAGCAGTTGCAGAGAAGTAGCGCGGAAACGTTTTTGTCTCTATATGCATACTGCATAACTAATCAAGGGCCATAACTCTGAGTTTAAGTGTCTGACCGGAACAAGCAGACGATATGCGCATCTCCTCTTGGTATTAAAGGTTCCCATGAACTTTCATTGAATTCCAGGCAGAAGTTGCAGAGAAGTAGTGCGGAAACGATTTTTACTCTATATGCATACTACATAACTAATCAAGGGCCGTAACTCTGAGTTAAAGCGTCTGACCGGAACAAGCTGACGATATGCGCATCTCCTCTTGATATTGATGATTCCCATAAAGTTTCGTTGAATTCCAGCCAGTAGTTGCAGAGAACTACTCTGGAAACGAAATTCGGGCGGAAGGACGGACGGACACGCCAAAACTATATCCCCCTCCCGATTCCATCGCGAGGGCCCTTCCGATTCCATCGGCGGGGGATAATAAGAACAACAGAGAGCTTCAGACTGTCTATCAACATAAAAGATTGATAAACAGTTGTACATCCTTGTTTATTCAAGGAAAAATATCAAAACTAAATCATAACTAATGTGTAACTGTAACTGAAGACAAGGGACATTATAGTTTATATAAAAGCAATATTTAGCAATGAAAGGTTATGTATTAAAATACTACACCTTTCTTTAAAAGCTTTTTGTCCCATTTCTCTGGCAGCTTTACGAACATGTTCTGGTACGTTGTCTTTCTCCCACTGGGCAACTTGAGCCACATTATGTCCGGCGTCTAATCTGTACGGTCCACCGATACCACCTAACCCAGCTGTATTACTACCACCTGTATCATATATATAACTCGTGTTAACATTTATACCATATTATAGATGATGTGATAAAAAAACTTGACACTCATCCCTTATTACTGGTTGGTTCCAGGAACGGATTTGTGACTTTTCGAATCCAACACAATCAAACTAAAACAAATTTGTATAAACTATCTTCAGATCAAACTAAAACAAATTTGTATAAATTATTTTCAGAGTAAGGCTATTGGAGACAAAAGTGTCACGTGGAATATCTCTACCTTATTGAATACATTTTCATGCACCCTGCTCTCGCTCATACTCTCTCATAGAAGATGCTGAAATCTATTTCTTAATGAAGACATGTAAATTCACCAAAAACTTTATAGCATCTCTTCTTTCTTCTATTGTTAACTATATTGTTTTTTCTTTTAACAGATCTTACCAGTGCCACCTGCCCAGGTATTTCCACCTACATGAGGTTCATTTTTTGAGTCAACTTTACCATGTTTAGGATCATCAGCTGTACGGCCACTATCTCTATCATATGTTACCTAAAATATATCATATGACATATATAATCATACTTTATGGACATTATCTTCTTATGTAACTATAAATGAAGAAAGCGATGATGAACTTGATTAAGATGATGATGATAATGATAATGATAATAATCATAGTGATATAATAATAATGATCATGGTGATGATAATGATGATAAAAATGATGATGATGACAACAATAATGCTGATGATAATTATGATCATGATGATAATAATTAGCCTGATGATGATGATAATGATTATGCTCTTCTTTTTTGAGGATTCTTTTATCCATGATGATGATGATTTGGAAGATGTTCAGAACACAAATTATAAACTGTTACAGTAAATGTAAACAGTAAACATGAACTATGTTGGTGATAATAATCAATGAAATCTTGAACAATTTCTTAGTTTTTGGCAAACAACATAATTTGGAGAAAAATAAAAGCACTGAAGGTACTGGCAGAGCAATGCTAATTTTGTATTGTTTTAGCATTAGAGATATCGATTTTACTTGAAGATAAGGCGAACAACTCATATTTTTCACTTGATATACCTCGGTTATTTACATAGTTCATATAGAGACTGTCAACGGGTGTGTACCTGTAAAGGTCTGGTATCCTGCCAGCCAATCATATTCTTCCATTCAGCAATTGACCTTTCAAGGTTAAGAACTGAAGTTTCCCACAATCGTACACAACCACCAACATCCACTGTAACTATACCATCATTACTGGTTCCAGCCATCAGTAAACTTGTGTCAGAAATGTTAAATAACCAGGAGGCATAGGGAGACTGTCTTGTTGCTCTACAAATATATATAGAGAGGATAATATTTAAGTTTTTTTCTATAAATACAGTTGTTGTATTTTTTCATCGTGTGGTATGATAATAAATATTTCATGAGTGGCCATAGCCAATATGATAATTATCATACCACAAGATGAAAATTAATCCTGTATTTATAGAAAAAACTTGAATTTTCTCTTCATCATATACATTTTTCTCTTTTTGACATTACAATTTGAAAGAGTTCCCCTTACATTTTGTGTATTGGCTGAATTTAGAGGAAAGTAGTGAGGCAAGGCACTAGTGAAAATACAGAAAATATGTTTCACTACAGTAAAAATTAATTTTTACAATAAAATATATGGAAAATAAAAAGACCCATTTTGTTTCACCAATATTTCTCAATACATGTATTTCATTTATATGAACATGATAAATATTAGTATTATATATTTACCAGCGTCTATTTTTCTAAGCATCATAACGTTTTTACATTAGAATAACTGTTAACTTACTGTACATAATCTTAATGAACAATTATGCAAAAAGCAACAGTTAAAAGCTGCTTAGCATCACAAAATAATTATTCTTGTACATGTTACAAACAGTGAACAACAAGGCAAGCTGTTCGGACAGCTGACATGTAAGTATATGAGTACATAAGTTTATTGCTAATCCATTGGTAGACACCAATTATAGTCTAAATACATTTGTAAATCTAAATTATTGAAGTTTTTGCCCACTAAAAATGTATTTGAATACACCCGCCTACTTGCAAATCCACAAGGTTTTGATTACCTTTCGAAACTTTGAAAAGGAAAATATAAATATTCTTGAATATTCAGCCTTCAGCAAAATGCCAAAGTTTATATCCAAGTTGGATTACAGTAATCATAGATATGTCATTCCTTTTTTGTCTTAAAACAGAATAGGTTAATAGACTATGATTAAGAAATAGAACAAAAGTTATGAAACAAATTTGCTACTTTACCCCCGAGGAAGTTAAACATTAAAACTGTTTTTGAACAAATAAATATATATTATTTCATACAAAGCTAAATTTGTAATTATAAGTTTTACCCAGGCACCATGATGTAACGAAGTTTATGATGAGCTAAATCTGACACTTCTAGAAGGCCACTAACATGGGGGCGCTTATCTGTAAAGTAGAAAATACAACAATTGATTTCAAATTGTCTAAAAAACTTCAATCATTTAATCAATTAGCAGTAGTCAGTATTCTTGTCACTATATACAGTAAATTCTCTCTATTAAGACCACTAACGGGACTGACTCAAAGTGGTCTTAATAGTGAACTGGTCTTAATAGTGAATTAGTCACTTAAACAGCTGACGAAGTCCAGCTTAACTTAATGTATACCTTGTATAGTTTTATGCACATGGTAAATGTACTTAATTAAATGAGTAAAAAGAAACACATTTTTTTCTAAAACAAAAAACATTTTTAATGCATGGTTATAATTATGATACACCATTAATATGATGAAAATATTAAATTCACGGCTTCCCCTTTAGAAGGAAAATATGAGGTATTAATATAGTTATGACTCTCATTATCATGATTTATACATTAATTACATATCGACATAAAGCACACATGAACTGATAATTTGGTTTTAAATAGCAATTTTTACCATGCTTGCTATAAATTGTGATGCACAACAAACAATTTTAAATGCTATTTACCTGTTGATCACATACTAATTACGCTGACAAATTAATCGTTTCTCACACCATAGCTGATCAGATTAATTAGCCAGAAGTGGTTTAAACTGATCATGTTGACGCTTGAATGCTAAAGATACATCGTAAAGCAAGCGTCTAATCCATCGGTATATATTAATGACCTCATTTGACCCGGTGTATTTGTTTACGCCAGAAGGAAGATTACGACAATTAATTAGGGGGCAATAAACACAAAGTGATGTCTGGCCATTATGTTGCATGGTCGTAATACAGGTTAATGTTTTGATAAGAAATACACACAAATGTCTGACAGAAGTGGTCGTTATGCCGGATTAGAGACGTGGTCGGTATACTGGTCATTTTTCTCAATGAATAAAGAAGGCAAATATTTTGTACTTTTAAAAAGTGCCCGTAATAGCGGCGTGGTCCTATTTGTGGCGTGGTCGTTAGGTGGCATTTTACTGTATGTAACTGTTTCAGACTACATTCATTCACTATATAGCAGTGTAAATAACAAAGTTCAGAAATACAGTGCAATTAATTGTTTCCGTTAGTGAAATCAGTTAAAAGTTTCTATATCTCAGTGTACTAAATAAAGCTAATATGCAGCCTGTTATTGGCACTTTTGTGTTTTTTCCCTCTATGCTGAACTCCCTTTATATAAATTGCAATCATTATTTGAATTCTATGAAAGAAGTAATACAGTTGTGACATAGCTTTCTATCAAACAAGCATAATGTTTACATGTTTAACCATTTCAAGAAAGGAACGTTGACATCATAATCTTTAGATTGAAAGTTTGTCGCTAAGAAAAGTGTATTAAGTCAATTACTTTTAAAATACTTGTTGTTTAAAATATTCTAATATTAACAGCATCTTTTTGTTTCATATGACACAATATGTCATTAAATCTAACCAGGGTCTTTCAAATATTCAATTTCTATATGAAAGAATGTATAATGTTTTGTTTTTACAATATTGTTCTAATCATACTTGTAAAATAACATATTTTCCATGCCGGGATCATGAAAATGTGGCTTCTTGATGTCTTTTTTTATATTTTTTTTTTATTTGTGTACATATGTTATTTAAAATGTGTAATGTATATATTGTTATGTACATGCTGAGGCCAACATGGAAGATCAGGAAATCAAATGTGTTAGCCTCATTAAATAAAGTCGTTACTTACTTATTTACTTACTAAAGACCCTAATCTAACTCACTTTAACTTACCACTTAACTTTACACCATTTCTGTACACTCTGGATCATTCATTCAAACAAAGTGTAAAATACAAACTTAAAACCCTTTCCCTAAATATTTTTGTCATGTCATGTTTTAATTCACATGATCTATTGAATGCTGGACTATAATAATGACAGACCAATGATATACCTTTAGGGAAAACACCTTCAGGAGCTTTCCATGTAGGAATGGTTCTAACAACTTGTCCACATCCCGGCAGATATACAACAGACGGTGCCGGACTTTGTTTATCTTGTTTTAATGTAAATCCAAGTAACTTATCTCCCGACACTGGCTGCTCATCCTTGAATGGTTCCCTTGGGCTTTTATAAATCTCAGCCTTAGTCTGTACAAATATAAAACATGTTATAAACCATCTATGTATCTAAGCTTTAGTCTGTACAAGTGTAAAACATTTTATAAAACATCTACGTATCTTATCTCTCTAATCAAATCTACTTTAAAAACTTTGAATAAAAAAATGACAATAACAGTTTGTTTAAAATCCCTAACTTTGTTACTTCCTATCCACATTAATATATCAAGGATAACATTGCTATATTATTATTACATATTCATTAAATTTCAATAAATAAGAACTTGGTACAATGGATCCCTAAATTTAATTCTGAAACTACTGTTTATATCTTTTAAATATATTCACATTTAGACTGAATGTCTTAGCATTTAACAAGAGGAAATCATTTTCTAATTCAGTGCTTGTGGTGTATGAATTCATGTACATGTATGCTATATTATCTATATTACTCCAAATTCACTTAATTTTATGGGTATGAATTTTTGTGGTTTTGTCACAAAGGACATTTACTTTGGTAGTAAAATTCTCTGTCTTTTTTTCCAAAAGGTAAACTGTAAATAACGTAATGCAAATAACTCTTACAGCTGACAAAATGAATGAAATTTTGTTAGATTAAAAATATGTTAACTGATCTATCAATGAAAACAACGAAAATAAGTACCCCAAAATAATAATAATGACTTTACAGTAGCCACCAAATGGAACAAGAGCTGTCCGTAAGACAGCGCGCTCGACTTTTTTAGTGCTTGCCTATAATACAAAACATTGACAGTTAAGGGCCATAATTCAAATAAAATCTTTGACAGAATTACCTTCTCCTGGACATGTTTGGGAATCATGATTGTAAACAAGTATTCCAACTTTCAAATTAATATCTCAAACAGTTCAGTCAAAAAGTGGACTGGTACTAAAAACTTAACCAAGATTCTAAGTCGATAAAAGGCCTTAATTTTTAAAACAAATCCTTGACAGAGTTACCTTCTCTTGCGTACAGATGGGGGTAATGATGTGAAATAGCATTAAAAGTTTCAAAGCAATATCTCAAAGGGTTAAGGCAATAAGTGGATTTTACCCATATTCAATGTATTTTCTAAGTCAAAAAGGGGCATAATTCTGTCAAAAACCTTGACAGAGTTATGTCCTCTTGTCTGTTGATGAAGGTCGTGATGGTAAACAAGTATGGTCAGTTTCAAAGCAATACCTCCAATGGTTTTGAAATAAAGTGAGGTGGTACAAAAAACTTAACCAAGCTCAATACACTTTCTAAGTCAAAAAAGGGCCATAATTCTGTCAAAAACCTTGACAGAGTTATGTACTCTTGTCTGTAGATGGAGGTTATGATGGTGAACAAGTATGGTAAGTTTCAAAGCCATACTTGTAATACTTCTGAAATAAAGTGGGGTGGTACGAAAAACTTAACCAAGGTGTGACGCCAACGCTAACGCTAACGCTAACGCCGACGCCGACGCCGGGGCGAGTAGGATAGCTCCCCTTTTCATAGAAAAGTCGAGCTAAAAATGAACCTACCAGATCTGGAAATCCTTTCAATACACTACCATAGGAATCTGGAGAAACCATCACTCTGTTAGGTGATGACATTTTCTCCCCCATGGTAGCAGACAGTACATTATCAGACATGGGTACGGTTGAACATTTCTGTATATACATACTGCTAGCACCTGAAACATCGGTAGAAGATATGTAAGTTTTATTTTATAAACCATGTGTTCTGTATTGTCACAAATATTTGTTAAAGCTTCTTAAAGACAAAATATATGTACTATTGTGTCTTACAGACAAAAACACTACACAATTCTGTACAAAGATTTACATGTATCTCAGCCACCAGAGTAAGATGGCAAAACAGAAGTTCAGTTTCCATAATAAAATAGTCCACTTATTGCATGTACTGAAATCACATAGCAAACAGACTAATTCTTCCAAAACAATTTCATAAGTCATGTTAAATCATTAATTGATGTAAGAAACAAGTGATCACTGATTTCAGCACTTTAAAGTGTTGAGGAATGAGTACTACTCAAGCCGGTGCTACGGGGCATGAGGAATTTTGCACTCTTTCATTATCCCTCATGAGACTCAATCAAACTGAGGCTGCAGTTTTCATGTTATTTTTCTGTTTTTAATGCTTCCAATCGGTCACTTCTTTCCAGATATTTAGCATTGATGAAATATCTTAAAATTTTACAAATATCCACTAACCATCTTCTTCTATGATGGCGTTCAACTTAAACTCTTCAATTCCATCTCTAATTAACAAGTATTTCCTATAATATAAAAGAAAAGTAAACTATTTATATATGTAACATCTATACAAATTGTTTGTTGCATTGTGTATCTCTATACAGAGATTATTCAAACCAATTATCTTTGCAATTTTCTGCCAAATGGAAAAAAATCATGTCATGAAAAGAATTAACACATTTCATTTCAAATTTAAGAAATTTCTGTAACCTAACAAATATATATTACAGGTCAATTAACATTTGCTTTATTGGTAGAAGACATTGAAGGGGGAATAATGTTTGTGCAAGTAAGTCTACAGGATTTAAGCAAATTATTTGATAAAAAGGCTATGCTTTAGATAACATAAACTTTTCATGACAATCAACATTACAAACATGCAGTTTTGTAATTATGTCTATGTTATATATTACTATAGGTTTCTAACTCTTAAGAAGATACTGCAGATAAGAACATCAATTTTCACATTCTTTCAGTCATTTACATCAATAAAGAAAATAGAAAGAAGAGCTTACTTGAAAGTTTTATCTTCTGTCAGTAACCATTGGTTAGTGCCTGTCTGATGAACATCATTAACGTGTGTTGGTAGTGACACGTTGTGTGATAAACCCTCTAATACACTGACAAACTCTAGAAAATCTCTGAAATATATTATATATCCATTTCAATAATTTCTATCTAATAACTTAATCTGCCAATATAAACTGCAATGCCATTGAAATCATACAGTAAACTGAGCAAAGCTATATGTATTTTATGAAAAATCACTGGAAAGAATTGAATTTAATATGAATGGCAGCTGACACTGTGGGTATGGGTATGCACCAACTATGGTTGATCACAACCCCATCCAACTACTTAACTTGCAAACAGTCAATGACTACCTTTATCTAAATGAAGACTAGTCCATGCTTCCTGACCCTGCTTTAATATTATTGTCTCACAAATTCATGGTGTTGTCCAGCAAATTTATAGTGTTGCCTGACAAATTCATATTATTGTTTGACAAAGTTATACCTGAATCTACCAGATTTATATATATGTCTTCCAATTAAATATAACTGTCTACCAAATTTAAGCGTTTTCATACTGAAACGACTTAAAAAATAGACTGTACTTGAATTCTTTACAGATTTCATGATACAAATATAGAAGGGGCCAATAATTTTAACCTCAATACAACATGTACAAGTTAAGTTGTTAAGATATTAATTCATCTATAGAAAATATTTATAATTAACATACCCATTTTTCTCATAGAACACAACAGTACCATAGGGATCAGGAACACAATTCGTACACAATCTGTACGGACTCTACAAACATATATAAGCTCTATTTAAAACTAATTCATAACATATTGAGCAAATATTAATAATAAAACATTGAACAGTGGCTAAAAAATTCTTTAACAGCATCACTTGAACATTTGATAGCATAGTTTAGACATGACAACACAACATTGTTAATAGCTATCGAGTACTATAAATATAATATCAGTTTTTTAATCTAAAGTATGGGGCCTCCGTGGCCGAGTGGTTAAAGTCGCTGACTTGAGATCACAGGTCCCTCACCACTGTAGGTTCGATCCTCACTCGGGTCGAAATCTTTCATGTGAGGAAGCCATCCAGCTGGCTTACGGAAGGTCGGTGGTTTTACCCAGGTGCCCGCTCGTGCCTGAAATAATGCCCGGAGGGGCACCTGGGGTCTTCCTCCACCAATAAAGCTGGAAAAAAATCGACGAAAAATCTCGGCGGGACGCTCTAGAATGACCCGACTTGAGTGTACGGTCGCCCATATGGGCTTTCTGGCGGCGACCTTAAATAAACGCATTAAAAAAAAAAAATCTAAAGTAAACAAATCTTATAAGTGTGCATGTAAAATGGTCTCATATTTGAATCAATTTTGGCCAATCTGACATGTTGAAATTTTCAATAAATTTAGCTGAGAGACAGGATATTATATCTCATTCATTTAATGTCATAACACAAATGTGCAATAAGTAAGATGGTGCATGAAAATTTAATGTTGCAAAATGACAATGTCAGTGATTATTCTTATACCACATTCTTATATGACATCTGTGCGATGAAGCAGCCAGGCTGAAGTGGGCATACACGTTGCAAGAGTAACTATCACTGACATTGTCTTTCTGCAACATTGAGTTTCCACAAACTTATTTATTTGGTATGTGTGTAGATTTTTTGTTTTTTATTAAATGTAAGTGGAATATCATATTATGTCTTTCAAGTGTCTCTATTGAAAATTTTAGAATGCCTAAGCTAACATTGAGCAACATATTAGTGCATTATATACTTATAAGATGTACACTTATAAGATTTGTTAAGTGTATGTGATCTAATAAGAGTCCTTTAAAGCCTACAGCCAAAATTTATCATATTGTTCCTGACATCCCTACAAGAAGTAATGTATTGTTCTTAATTAGAAACAGGACAAGTCTATTGCACAAAAACAGGTAGCCAAAAAATTAGAAATAAAACATAATGACATACAGACTTGGTTGCCGCGGCCGACACAAATCTGCCTCTCTCCGGGGCGGTCTGAGGTAAACTGTCAATCACTACACGTGAAATCTCACCGGTCTCGTAGTTTATATTCAGTATAGTGTTTGTCTGAAAATATTCCAAATATAACAATGAAACAGTGGTTAAACTAATATATGACAACAGTATCAGCATCTATATGGAATTCTAATTCTAATTTTTTCTAATATACATGTACACTTAACAATGAGAAAAAAATAACAGAGGCTAATATGTAGGTCTTTGTTTTAGTGTTAAATGCTTCAGGATCATGATAAATGATTCATGAAATAAAATCACTGGTGTAAATAATAATTTAATGTCTAGCAAGAATTATATTGTAAACAATCATGTGTTTACTTTTATATCATATGAAAAGTCACAAAAGCTTAATTAGAGCCATAATACAACCTTAAGGTTTTTTTCAATTATTACATATTTATTATACAAAGATTATGGTTTCAAGCATATATTAAAATTTGAACTCACAACTTCTTCATGTAGAATGATATTATCATCTAGAGGGGTTCCCAGTGGGTATAATTTAACATATGGTCTGTAAGAACCGCTAATCATTGGGAAAACATCGTACATGTCGAGAAAGTTTGCCGTCATTGTACGTGGGTTCATTGAGTACAGTCCAACAGGGTTTGCTGTACCTATATGTATAATGTCTGCTGCAGTGTGGCCCGGACTTCTGTCACTGGCTGAAGAAGTTAAATAAAATACTTATAACATCACTCATTATTTGTTTTATTAACTTAAAAAAATTGAACATATTCCTATGAAGATATCTCCAGAAATAGTTAAAATATGATAGACACTAAACATATCAAGCAGACATACTATCACCCATTAAATCCCCATTAAACGCCCCCAACCTAATTAACGCCCCCTACCCACTTTTGAAAAATTCATGTATAATTTAAACTAAGAAAACAAAGAAAATCGCTGACCAGTATGGCAATTTATATCCAATTACATTACATTTATGAAAAACATCCGTTGATCAAATTTTAAAAGTCTAGTGCACAAGAAAAGAGTAACTGTTAAAATTGCACAAAACACATCGTAAATAAGGCAAGTAGCATCGATGAGGTCAGATTGTCAGCGAGATCAAAGGTGTCAATTACAAGGAAATTTTGGGAGAAAAATTCGTGACACGCAGTGTAAATCTAAGGTGTCATAATGATGTGCTTAAAACGGACTTCCATGGATTTTTTTACATCATTTGAAGAGAGAGAAAAGACAATCATTTTCACTACGCCTTTCCTTGTTGATCTGGTGTATCATTTTTAATTTTTTTTATCTTTATTAAACGCCCCCAACCCCTTTGGAAAAATGTTACACCCCGGGGGCATTAAATGAAGATTTTACGGTATGTACAAGTTTATCTTAATAGTTTTTTATTTTTATGCAGTAAGTATATTATGTATCACTATCATACAAAGAAAAATTGCACATGTCATTCAATATTACTTTTAAAGCATTAAGAATACATAATGACATTGTATAACTCACATATAACATATCTTATTTAATGTACTTATAAACACTAAATGTAAACTATTAACTTTTGTTTGTTTCATGTAAATTTTACCTTTTGTTACAGCAATATCACAGATAATGTTTGTTTCATGTAAAGGGACATTCCAGAAAGCTTCTTGTTCAGTAAATCTGTTAGATCGAGCTTCTGTTCTATCAATAGGCATGGTCTCTACACGCACTGTCACTGGACCCTTAAACAACCACATCCATTTCAAAAGTTTGTTCCACTTTTAAATCAGAAATGGCCAAGGATAAACAGAATAGGATAAGACTACCGTGGTATGTCTCTTAAACAATCAGAACTTTGATATTTCATGCAAAATTTTTGCTCAAATATTCAACTTTCAGTGGTGGCATGGTCGAGTGTTTTACGCATCAGACTAGTAATCTAATTGCTAGCCGTATGGGTTCAAACCCCATAAGGGGCAAGTCGTTGTTTCCTTGCCCATGAAACTTTACACTCATTGCTTATAGTTTCCTACAAAATGGAACTAAAATAAATTTTGTATAAACCAAATCTTTAACTGTGGCATAATAAATTTGATGAACTCCAGTTTTTAATATCTTTTTTAAAACACAGCCTGCCTAAGGTTTATAATAGAGCTGTCATCGATAGAGACAATATCGATGTATCGTTGATAATTTTTTGCCGATCAATAAACAATACACATTTTAAAAAATCGATACTTTTGATTAATTAATTAAATGTCTAGAAATTATAAAAATTCACCCAAAACATAAACAGAAGGAGTTAGTTGTGTCTAATATTATTCTTTTGTTATATAGTGGAAATATTTCATAGCAATGGTGACAAAAAATATTGTCTAGAAAAAAATTATGCAGTGGACAATACACTGTACAGAACATGTTTTTAACTGAAATAATTTAAACAGGTATGAAAGTGAATGATAGACAAGTAATTATAGGTTATTATCGATATATCAGTGTATCGTTGATTTTAGTCATCTGATATTGATATATTGTTGATATGCTTTACACTGAATCAATGACAGCTCTAGTTTATAAGTTTTTCGTTTTAATAATGTAAAGAAACACAGCCCCTATATATAATAGGCATATTACAAGCAAGAACATAGAATACAAAGGGTTTTCAGTTTCTCTACCAGGAGAAATCATTAAATGCATCTTTAAGCATTCTTTCATGCAAAACTGAGCACTTCAGTATAACCACTGACCTTGGTTAACTATTTTGGTCTAAAACAATTGCATTACTACACAAAGGGCAATGCAACATTAAACGCTATGTCCTAGAAACATTTAACATTAATGTCCTAGAATTATTATATGAATTTGGACATTGGGTAAATATATGGTCATCATTTGTCCGATTTTATTATGCCATTATATTTATAAGCATTTTTTAATTGTATTAAAAGATAAGCTCACTATTAAGTAAAATGAATTAACTTTAATTAAGATTACACTGTAGAAACCCTTTAATTATTTTTACAATAATGAGAATTCATAACAGTATAGGGATCTGGAGAACTTTGAGAAAGAATCCTACTTTAAGTCCAAATTTCCTTGTCTGTACAGGTAAGGCCATTACACCTGTTCTACGTCTACCAGTCTGACGCTGGATATTCCACTGACCAGCCAACTCAAAGTCAGGCAGTGGATACCTGGAAGTATGGTACAGATATTTTATCTTATACAACATGTATTTATACTCATCACTGATATATTATATTTCACAAGTGAGATATAATATATATAACTCACAGTGTATAATGTAGTGCAAGTGTTTTGTTTTGCAATTAATTGGCTTAAATATAATATAAAATATTTCTTTTTGCGACAACAAAATATATATGACACTCACTTCCTGACATTTGAAAATTAATTAATTTATCGTATCTCTAAGACAAGTTCCAAACGAAATGAACATTCTTTATATATATTTAATAAATATTTCTTATCTTTAATGAAAATACATGTTCTAATTAAGAACACAATTGTTAATTTTTTTGCTTAAATGTTCATAATAAAATATATCCAATGTTATCTGACATTTTCATCAAGTTACAATTATTGTTTAGGAATTTATATATATAAGATATCAATATCCGTACCAAACTTCCATGTTTCAATGACAACATAACACAAAGATCACAGTGGATATATTTTATTTACATCATCATTGTTGTTGTTTATTCTTTATCACAGATAAGTAAAAACACATTGCCTCCTTAAATATTGATAAAAACAACATAATAAACTCCATATCTAAAAATTTATATATATATATATAGCCAACAGAATTGAAACAACATGTCTCTTTTTAATTTTCAAAATTTCATGCCTACAAAAACTACAAATTGATATTTTTTTGATAATAGCATTTACATGTACTATATGTGCTCTTTTATAAGGTTTATTATATGTGCTCTTTGATAAGGTATAAGTGACACATTTAAACTGACTTAATAGAAAGATAACAGAAAGCCTAAAAAGAAAGGAATGCAAAATGCAAATACTTTCAAGATTAACCAAAGTTGCAATTATTTCTATGAACAATGCTAGTACAGTTAAAATCTTAAACTTTTAAACTTAAAACTTGTTAAGCATAATTAAATCTGCTAATAATTCAGTAAAATAAAATAAAAGATGTCTCAAAAATGTTCTGTAATTTTAAAATAAAAAATTCAAATTGAAACTATTTTGATATTCATTCAATTTATTGATCTACCTACAATAAAAATTTTCTTAAATGATACATGACTTTATTACATATCATTAACCTTACTAACCTGGGGCCCGAGCACTATGTTAAGAACACTTATTATTGGATTGTAATTGTTTTGTCCTTTATCTATATTGACAAACTGTAATGATACCACAATAAAACCTGGTAAAGAAAGACATTTGGTACCCTGTACATGTATAATTTTACCTGTACATGTATAATTTTACCTGTAAATGTATAATTTTACCTGTACATGTATAATTTTATAATTAACAGTACAATCTGGCATTTAATTTTTCGGCATCAACTTTCTGTAAGAACACACATATGTTAGAGAATATCCTTACTCCTTGGCAAGTTGTACACTGTCCGCACTGGCACCAAGTGGTATACCATGTTTCTGCATGGTGGTTATCAACACTTCCTGTAACTCCTGGTTGTATGAGTCAAAGTCAAACACATTCTTTATAACTGATGTAAGACCTTCATTTGGGTATTTCTGAAAGGAAAATTAAGATTTGGTTAATTACTTACTTTACTGTATATACAATACTTTATTATCATACCTTGTGTATTAACTATATAGCATTATGTCATGTCATACAGGTAACAATCTCTAATAACATATACCAACATCACTTTTAGGCCTGTGACAATTACGAGCCAACTGGGTATCTGATTTTAGTTATTAGTAACAGCTGAGATATCTTTCTTGATTATTTATTTGTTAGGTATGATAAAATATCAGTTTTCAGCCATGTTTGTGTAAACAAGTAGCTCTTATACAAGTGCTAATAGTAATTTTCTATGCAAATTTCAAAGTGACTGAATAAATCATATATAACACATACCTGTAGATGTTTCACCATGTTAACCACCTCTCTAGTAGAGTAAGGGTACGCTATTAAACCCTGATCTGCCATATCTCTCAACTCTCCAAATGACAAGACAAGTTTCTCAAGGATATTTTCAGGCACATCAGGACCATACTGACGTAACATGGACATCTCTGACGCTTTGTCTGGATTGTCTATTGCATGACAACTAAATATATCACCTGGAAATATATAAATAACATATAGACAGTATAAATCTGCCTGGAATAAAACATTAAAATGCTCATTCCCAAAAAGAAGAAGTGACTGCTACCATTTTCATAATTTACAGAATAATAGTGGGTAGTGATGAAAATAGAACAATTCAATTCTAGCACCAGTTATCATGTTGATGTCTCACAAGAACAATTCACATGTATAGTCTATGTAAACACTCACTGGCTTATTTGTTGTTTTAAGTCAAACCATCACTGTTTAGGTTATATCACCACTTCCTAGCTTTAGGGTGCCCCTCCCATGCATTATCTCAGGCACAACTGGGCAATTTAGTAGTACCACAATCCTTCAAGCTACCTGGATAGCTTCCTCACATGAAAGAATTCAAAGTATGGAACCAAATTCACCTGTACAGTCAGGGATCAGTGGTTCTAAGTCAAGGACAATAACCTCTTGACCACTGAGGCCTATCACAATGGCTAAAGGATAATGAAAATCATGTGTGAATGACATTTGTAATTTGTTGTTTTTTCTGTTCTTTTTTTGTTTCTTGATTTATAACAAAATTTGCGAATAAATTCTGTGGGAACTTATTAATAATTATTGGTAATTTTATGTTTTAAAACATATATACAGGCTTACCCATAGCACCGAAGAAATCATTTCCCAGGAAAGGGAATCCTGGTCTGTTAGCAAGCACAATCATTCTAAAATCTGGATGAGAGACAATTACCTGCTGGGTGGGTATGATACCAGAGTTTGCTGTAAAATAATAAAATATCCTCATTTGTTTAGTTACATTATTCATCTATAATGAACCTTGTACAGTCATTTCAATGTTGGATTGTAAAAATTCAGATGAGCTTTTATAATTCTGCATGTTTGTAACTACCATTTTAACTGAATACTCATGATGTTTATATAAACTATATACATTGCTGCTGTCAATTCATGAACTAATTTCAATTTTTGTTGTCATTGCTGTATTTCAATTTGATATGAAGTTGAATTGTAAATAATATACTACATGTCATAAAAGATTTTTTGGCATACATTATATGGCCCATTACAGAAGTTGCTAGCTTTTATAACCCAAGTCATGTTTTGTTATATAACAAATAACCTTCCATACACAGCAATTTTACCTGTCACAAACCTGATTACATAGTGTCATTAAAAAACTGGCAGTTTTTACAAGAATAGACCAAATTAATTTGACAAGTAATAGGAAATGTAGATTCCAAAACATACTTTATACATCCACATATTGAAATTAGACATTTTCAGGAAGAATTTACTACATTTTGTAAATTTCTGCAATAAAAATATTTTACCCAAGGATGAACATAGTTTATTTTTAAAATAAAAAGAAAACAATTCATAAGCTTACAGCAGCTTGTATATAGATAATGTTTACATTAAGATAGTCCAATGCAAATACTTGTAGATGTTACAAAATGTACAGATTGTTTTATTTTATTCAACATTTAAATGCTTGACAAAAGTTATACATTTTGCCGATATGATGTGAGACTTTTTGTAAATATTTAAGGCATTTAATCTTAAATGATTTACATTTGTTGAAGACTACAAAGCTATCTGATTATAATAATGTTTTAAAGTATATAAAGTTACCTGCTACAATTCTCCGACCATCAGCTAAATGCATCTCCCCACTTTCTACCAGTGTTTTAAGTATGCATGTCACATTAGTCGGGGCCTTGTCTGCCTCATCAACAACTAACACATGACCTACTTTCACTGCCCTGACCTAAGCATAAATAAAATTTTATCTAAAATATTTAACAATTTTCTGTCACCCCAATGATCACACAGATTTGTATAGTACATGTATCTCAAGAATTTGCAGAAAAGAAAAATTTTGTAACTAATTCAATATGTTCATGATTATATGTTATTATAATGTCATGTCATCTTTTTGTTACACCTATCAATTGCTGTAATCACTCTCATATAGTAAAATACATTTAATCAAGTCATTAAAACACTCTGGTAGTCTGTGTCAGTTAATTAAAACTTTTATAACTCTTGTCCGGTTGTCTTTTTTTTGTTGGGTTTCACTGCACATCAACACTGTAAGGGTTAATTCGTGACTTTCCAGTTTTACTGGTGGAGGAAGCAGCCAGGCGCCCCTCCTTGCATTATTTCAGGCACACCGGGCACCCGAGTAGAACCACCAACATTCTGTATGCTAGCTGGAAAGCTTCCTAACATGAAAGAATCCAAGAACCCTGACAAGATTTAAATCCATAATGTGAGGAGCAAGTGATTTGAAGTCAACGATCATGACCACTCAGCCACAGACATCCCTGAGGCTTGACTTATAACAATTTCAAATCATTTCATAACAAATTCCATGAAATCTACTACTAATATAGCAATTTTACATAGCTTTTGTACTTTTCATTGTATTAATTATAATTATAAAATATTTACAAATATTAAAATGTAATAATGCTGTATCAAACTCCAGCACTTTCTATAATTAAACAAAGAATATAACAAACTTACAAGAGGAGAATCCTCGTATATTATGACACCATCTTGTACTGTAGGTTGTAAAGTTAATGTTTGTACAGTTGTATCTCTATAACATGAAAAAACAATATACATAATAAAACATAGAATATAACACAAAACTAAAGAACGTGTACAAACTGAATAGCAATTAAACTAGATCAACTACAGCCCAATATAAAAAGAAGTTGTTTATATTAATATATAATAATATATATGCAAAATGATAAAAGTTCTTTAACCTTTTCCCTCATATAGACATGTTTTGACGGCTTTTAGTCCCCCCCCCCTTTTTTTGAGGCCTCAAACAGTGAAAAAATGCCCTTTTTAGGCCCCAAACACTAATTTTTGTTTGAGAAATGTCGTTAAAAAAAGTGACCACTTTTTCGGCGCCACCCCTTATCGAAATGTTACATCAGAGGGTTGCCAGAAGGGCGATGTGCCCCCTTCTGTTTGGGGGGTTTGAAGGGGGACAGTATTCCCTCTCATCGCCAAGAAAATTTTGGACATGTGACAGGCTAAAAATGGCCTCAGGTCCATCTTAGGATAACTAGTAACCAACGCTGAAAAGCCTTTTACTCTATCTCAATTCATTGAGAAGTTGCAGCACTTTGAAATCAGTTTTGATGGAAAAAAAACAATGCAAAATAGTGATTTTTGGCAATTTTGAGACATCCCCTGTTGCCATGGTAACAGGAAATTTACGATTAAACATGCTGTTACAGAGGCTATGGTCTAGTCAACATTTGTGCCAAGTTTAATCAGTATTGAAGCATTTTTCATAGTTTCATAGCAGTTTGAACTTGTTACAGGAGGCTTTTCAATGAGAACGGCCATTTTTCGCAATATGCTCATGGGGTAAAAGGTTAATGCCTGTTTCAGAAATTCAAAATCTGAATGCTTTGATCATTTTTTTTTCTATTCCCATCAATTGAATTTCCTTCATAAATCATTAAGCAGTGATACAGCAGTAGAGTGTTAATATGTGCCCTGTTTATATACAAGATTTTAGATCGATATAGATATATCTTTCAATGAATCAGATTATCTATAATCACTATAATGACTTTATTAACTATGGTTAATATATTTGGTTCATGACCAATGTTAATATTGTCTGCACACTTCATATTTATTGTATATTAAAGTATACCTATGTAGTTGTATATATTCCCGGGGTCTGTTCAGGAGATGTAGAAATCTATCAACAATCTTGTTCTTACCAACACCTTGGTTACCAACTAACAATAGCTGTTCTCCTAGTATAAAATCCTTCAACATATCTTCCATCACTGATAAATGCTGGAAACAATCATCTATACTGGTAATTTACATCTACATTACATAAATGAGCCGTGTCACGACAAAACCAACATAGTGCGTTTGCGACCAGCATGGATCCAGACCAGCCTGCACATCCGCGCAGTCTGATCAGGATCCATGCGGTTCGCTTACAAACCCTATTACAAGTAAAGAAACTGATAGCAAACAGCATGGATCCTGATCAGACTGCGCGGATGCGCAGGCTGGTCTGGATCCATGCTGGTCGCAAACCCATTATGTTGGTTTTGTCGTGACACGGCTCAAATATGTTTACCACAACATGTGCAGACAGACTGGGACACAAACCCAGGGCCCACACAATACTGTTCTGCAGCTCTACCGACTGAGCTATCCAGCTGCTTACAATCTCCCCTAAATAGTGAACAGTTCTAAACCGTGACAAAGTCGTTACATGTACTGACATATTGAAATAAAAATTAACAATATCCCATCTACCTTTACTGACATATTTACGTGAAAATGTTACCAGCTTTAGCATCTAAATTAACAATAAGTAGTCCATCTTTATACTGTGAATGCGGGGTATTGTTAACATTCCATTTTGACACAGTATAAATTCTATTCATAACAGAATAATAGACCTGACACATATTCACAAAGTCTTTTATATTTCAATATCGAACCAGTATCAAACATCGAATATAAAAAATAAATCAAAAATACATACATATAGTTCTGCATTAGTATTTTAAACATATACAAAAATAAATCTTAAGTTAAGAATATTTACATTTTGCGCAAATAATTTTAAGGAAATAAATATTTGTTAGTCGTATACTTCATCAGCTGCAAGTTTAAGAACAAAATAATGTATATGCAATAAGTACTTACCTGTGCATTCTCATAAAACAGTACATCAGGAACTTTTGTTTTATTACCAGGATCATAAACATCTACTTCTGTATTCCCTATCCTTAATATGTTATCCTTTATTTCACCTATAATCAGATGATATATATAATTAATAAGTTTATTATTACTTTATAAATAATTTACGATTTTTTTTAACTTGAAATTGCCATAGAAACAAGAGATGTTAGTAAGACAGCCTGCTTGACTATTCTCAGTGTTTGATGGCAAAACAAGACCCTGGATAATGTAGAATATGAGTTTAAAAATATGAAGTTAATGAAGGGGCCATAATTCTGTTAAAATCTTAATTAGAATTATTGGTGTTAGATAGTTATGCTCTCAAATAAGTGTGTAAAGTTTCAACCAATTCCCTTCAGTAGTTTTTTGAAATATCAATTTGCACTCAAAAATTAAATCAAAGTGTGATGTGGACTCCTGAATAATCAAGCTTAAAACTACACAGAATACATAACAGATATGTTTTTAAAATAGATAATAATAACAATATGGAATATTGTTATCAACACCTAGATTTGACAAGATAGAACTTACATGTTATAGATTTCTCTATCCCATCTATAGAATGATTATCTGAAGTAACTTTGATAATTCCAGATTCTTCTAGAGCTTGTTCTAACGCTGACTTGGGAAGACGAGGTAAAAACCTGAAAAAAAATGAGTTTACATAAAGTTATTGTGCATATAAACTCTACAATTATTTAATGAAAGTTACTCATTGGCCAGTCACCTGAACCTTATATTGCTTCTCCTGCTTCTAGGCAAGTGTTTTAAAATACTATTTTGTTAACTTTTTGCTACCTTTATTACAAATAGTTGCACACACCACATTACTATCTTTATGTGATAAAGATGTAACATACTCTAAAACTATTTCATAATAGCATGCTCTAAAACTATTTCATTACCGCTACAAAATGCATGTCTGCCCATTCTAAAGAAGAAAAATTTATTCGTTTCTGAGGCATAATGTACCTTTAAATTATTTTAAGGTTACAGATTTAAAATTAGCTACGTCATATAAAACATTATGTGGAGTAAAGCTAATATTTTACCTGGCCAAACAAGCCTTCTGTATAACACCGTACAAATCTTCAGACGGGAATTTAGCCAAACGTTTGGCGACACGGATCAGTTGTCTAGTAGATAGAGATGATGCTATAGAAGATACCTGGATAAAATTTTTATCAAGTCAAGTTTTTGATCACAAAAAAACTAATGACAGGCATTTGTATAGTAGTGTATAATTAGATTATAAAACTGAAAACATTTCATAATCTTGTTGGATAACTACCTCAAATGGAAGGATTCAAAGTATATTTTGAGACAGAACATACAACAATGAAAAGTAAGAGATTTCAGTTAGTAACCTTGACGATTCAATATAAGAACTCCACTTCCCTATTGACAGAATATTCAAATATAGCTCAACAATCATAGATATTAATTAATTACTAGAAAAATATATTTTACATTTTTTATGCCTAACGCAAAGACAATACATGTATACACCAAATGGCAGATTATGAAATTATGAAATGTGCATTATTCAATCATAAATTAATTAACTTTCATCAAAGTCATATTTGACATGTGTTTTTGATATATACTTGCATACCAAATATAAACCACAATTCACAAAGTTTTTTAAAAGTTCTAAACTTGAAAACCTTACTGACAGAAAGCCAATACAGTCACATTACATACCACTTACAGAAGATACTATTGGCATGAGGAGGTCATTGGGAACCTTAAAATGTTAAACTAGTAAAATAATTGTGACTTACTGTAGGATCTTTGGAGTTTCTCAGTGTATGTGAAAATTGTAATAGTTTGGACAGATCTGGACAATGTGGTACCTGAAAAATATAACATCTCAAAATAAATAAATGGTGTCCTGCGCCTGGGAAATCATTATATTCAAAATGATAAAATAAAGTTGCCTGGAAAATATATAATAAATTCTGAACTATAAAATGACAGACTTCCTTGAGTTATGTAAAAAAAGAATTTACATGGAAAAAATTCTTTTATAAAGTCTTAATGATAATGAAATAAAATAGTAAGTTAATTCAATTATGTTACTGAGTAAATAATCAACTCAATATAAAACATGTTAATTTGTGAGAAGTAAGATAATACATCATCAGAATTCATTTTTAACATTTTTTTTTGAGAATGATACTTGAGTCATTCTTGTTATTCATGGGAAAAATGCCTCAATGAATTCAATTCCAAATTTGTCAATGGAATGTATGTTTAAATATTGTAAAGAAAGACCCCAACACCCCCGCCCCACACAACACCCCACCTCCAAAACTAAATACCACACAATAAGATTATAAGTTCTGAACTGAATATTACCAATTGTGAGTGACAGCTTTTCTTCATTCTGGGTCAGAAAGGCCCATGTTATGAATACAGGAAATGGTCAACATTTCCGGACGAGCCACTGCTGGTTTACTGCTACAACAATGGCGGTCCCGCAGAGCAAGATTCTAAATCCTGGATGTTTACATAGAATATTCCTGAAATAAAAATACAATAACAATTGTGTATGTAATTATTAGTTTATACAGAATCTGTTTCAGCTTGACTGTTAATATTAAGTTGACTGTGTAATTAATTAAGTCAGGCCTTTGAAAAACAGTATAATATATGTAATAATCAAGTTAGATTTACATGTATCTTTCCTTTGTCTTACTGATATAAAGCTACCTTTGTGATTTGAAACTAATTAAAAACAAAGCAAAGTTATTGTGCTTTCATGCCCATTGTTGATTCAAACATGTACTCACTCTTCTCAAGTTTATATTTTGGTTGGAATTTAAATCACAACAACATTGTAAATATCATACAGCAACTTTTTGAGACCAAAGACCTAATAAGCCCCATTATACAATACAGTAAAAACTCTGCAAACCGGACCCAAAAACTTAACCAATAGTCTGGTTTTCAGAGGGTCCATTTATTAGAGTTTTTACTGTACCCATATTTCTAATTTTAGTGAGAATATTTGATACAAGAAATGATAAATAAACCCAATGTACATATGATATTTATTCTTGAAATGGTCAGCTATAATAAGTACCAACCTATCAGTCATATCGGCATCTGTGAGGTTATTTTCAGATTTAATGGCATCATATCTTTCCTTGCCGACCAGTCGTGTACCATCAAATAACTGTAATTCTCTCTCATGTATTAATCTGTAAATAAAATACAGACAAACTTGTCACACCAACACTCTCTGAATAAACCATTACTTTCCTTTAATAATATTACTACATGTTTATCATAGGCAAATATTTATACATATTTTTTTTCCTTTAAGGTGTGCAAACTTTTTAAAACACATTCACAAGTAACTTAACAAATGTAAATGCCATATGGCCACATTCCAGCTTTACTGGTAAAGAAAGACCAAAGGTTCCCCTCTAGGCATTAGTTCAGGCAAATATATCCCTGAACCTTTCATAAGCTAGATAGTGTTCTCAATGAAAAAACAAGAGGGCCATGATGGCCCTGAATCACTCACCAAAAACAACTGCTTTTCAGTGTTGGAAATTATCCATTGTCAATATTTTCTAATATTAAATGCTACGAAGTCTGGTGATCATCTATCAGTTATTTCAGTAGGAAATGATGTTCAAAGGTTTTTCTATTTTGAGCTTTAGTGCCCCCTAAAAGGGGCTAATCAAATTAATATGAGCAAACTTGATAAAAGACTACCCAAGAATGCTACAGACAAAGTTTGGTGATCATCCATCAAATAGTTCTGTAGAAAAAGACGTTTAAAGGCATTTCTATTTTTAGCTTTAGCAGCCCCTAAAAGGGGCCAATCAAATTAATATGAGCAAACTTGATAAAAAACTACCCAAGAATGCTACAGACAAAGTTTAGTGATCATCCATCAATTAGTTCTGTAGAAATAGACGTTTAAAGGTATTTCTATTTTTAGCTTAAGCGGCCACTAAAAAGGGCCAATCAAATTAATATGAGCAAACTTGATAAAAGACTACCCAAGAATGCTACAGACAAAGTTTAGTGATCATCCGTCAATTAGTTCTGTAGTAAAAGATGTTTAAAGGTTTTTCTATTTTTAGCCCTAGAGACCCCTTAAAGGAGCCAATCAAATTAATATGAGCAAAATTGATAAAAGACTACCCAAGAATGCTACAGACAAAGTTTGGTGATCATCCATCAATTAGTTCTGTAATAGATATTTAAAGGTTTTTCTATTTTTAGCCCTAGAGACCCCTTAAAGGGGCCAATCAAATTAATATGAGCAAACTTGATAAAAGACTGACCCAAGAATGCTACAGACAAAGATTGGTGATCATCCATAAATTAGTTCTGTAGTAAAAGATGTTTAAAGGTTTTACTATTTTTAGCCCTAGAGACCTCTTAAAGGAGCCAATCAAATTAATATGAGCAAACTTGATAAAAGACTACCCAAGAATGCTACAGACAAAGTTTGGTGATCATCCATCAATTAGTTCTGTAGTAAAAGATGTTTAAAGGTTTTTCTATTTTTAGCCCTAGAGACCCCTTAAAGGGGCCAATCAAATTAATATGAGCAAACTTGATAAAAGACTACCCAAGAATGCTACAGACAAAGTTTGGTGATCATCCATCAATTAGTTCTGTAGGAGAAGATGTTTAAAGGTTTTTCTATTTTTAGCCCTAAAAACCTCTAAAAGGGGCCAATCAAATTAATATTAGCAAATTGGAAATAAGACTACACAAGAATGCTACAGACATTAAGTTTGGTGATCATCCATCAATTAGTTCTGTAATAGAAGATGTTTAAAGGTTTTTTCTATTTTTAGCCCTAAAAACCCCTTAAAGGGGCCAATCAAATTAATATTAGCAAATTGGATTAAAGACTACACAAGAATGCTTACAGACAAAGTTGGTGATCATACATCAATTAGTTCTGTAGTAAAGATGTTTAAAGGTTTTTCTATTTTTAGCTCTGTTGACCCCTAAATTAAGGGGCCTATTGAAATGACATGAGCAAATTCAAGTGTGACTGTCACAAGGATGCTACAGACCAAATTTGAAGTAAATCTGCCCAGCAGTTTCAGAGAAGAAGACGATTGTTAACGACGGACGACGGAGCATTCCCCTTTGATACTTATAGCTCAAAATGTACCTTCAGTTCTGGTGAGCTAAAAATCAGGACTTTTTTTATATTCTGAACGAGTTTAAATACTGATTGAAAAAACACAATGCTAAAATTTAATACTAGTAGTTTCTCGCACACTAGATACTTTGTTTACGAAATAAATGACTAATATATTTGAGGTTTAAACTTGTAACTTTAGTTATAAAACAAGGAAGTAAATAAAGAGCAAATACCATGTATCCAATATCAAAAGCAAAATATTTACATTAGAAACCTGTGAGACAATTTGAGGAATACCATTTCAAGGTACAATATTTTTATTAAATGTCTTAATGTCTGCAAAAAAAATTACTCTCTCACAACTAGTGATCATTATTATTTTATTAAAGTTTTTTAAAAAAAGGAAGTTTAATATAACATATATTTGATACACAAATTCATGTTATTGAAAAACGTCTGGACTGGGTTATTTTGCATGCCTTTTGATTATATTAATATTTGTAATTAGACCAGTCAGTGGACAGAGCACTCCACCTTTCTCATTGCTTTATAATATAATTCAATACAATCAACAAAGAAAAGAAGGTGTATAATTCTGTAAATGTGATAAGCAGACTAACAAGAATTTCAAGTTTGAAGTGAATACATTTTTTTGGTAATAATATAATTTTAAGATTATCTGTCCTTTTGAAACTCAAAAATTAGGCACAGCATAGTTGGTTGGTGCATATGGGTTGTAAAGTTATTGGTTGGAATCTGTTTTGACATAAAAGGTCAATCTCATATTGACCTTTTAGATTTCAGACCTTTTAGATTTTGACCCAAAAATCAAAAGCATTCATGAAGTGCCCAAGACCAATGCTGCTATAAAGAAACTAGGACAATTAAAGCATTATGTCATATGTCAAATAAAATTGTAACAATTGTCTTCTTGGGGTGGAAGGGGGGGCTCTATCCTCGAACCAGGAACATAAATAAATGATTCATCCTGTTTTATTTAGTTTATACTTCTGAAATATCAGCAGGGTGTAATTTAATAGATTGCCAGTTTTTCTTGATTTCTATTATATGTTAATCCAGGGAAAACTGATTTAGTCTTGTAATTATTTTAAGATATCAGATATCCCAATGTGAAATGTCAAAACAATTTTGGCTGGTTATTAATCATATCGATATAAAAGACTTAAATCAACTAAGTTAATTAATACATACACTATAACATAGCATTAGATAATAAACAATATATTGTACTACATGACTGCAAAATATACTTTTAACAAGAAACATGGCAATGCCATGAAACCAGGTTTTCAATTATCACCATTGTAGATAAATATGTTGTATTTGAAATACAAATACAAGCAACAAACAATGTAACTATGTGCAATGTAAAACATGAATAATGTAGGAGGAATTGCCACTGAAGAAGTGTTCACTATAATATTATGTATAAGGAAAAAAACAAAGGGCCATAATTAGGTCAAAAACTATTCCAATCACAAAACCCCGACAATATGTGCCAGGGTGCTTGATGACAAAGCTTCTGTGAAAGTTTGAACAAAATCCGTTGAGAAATGTAGGACGAGTTCAGCACAGAAGAATTTGTTCACTATAAATTATATTGATAATTCTGTATAATGAAAAACAAGTTACAAAGTAGACATGAAATAATATATCATATCTTTTTAAATTACCTCCAAAGATGATATGACCTTTGACTGCCAAATCAAGTTAAAATCATGTAAACAGGATTTTCAATGTTAATGTCACTGTGACCTTGACCTTGGAGCCAGCCATGCGGAACATGTGTTCTGCACGTCATCTTGATGTGGTAAACATTTGTCTGAAGTTTCATCAAAATTCTTCAAAGGGTTGAAGAGTTACAGAGCGGACAGGATTTTCAATGTTAATGTCACTGTGACCTTGACCTTGGAGCCAGCCCATGCGGAACATGCGTTCTGCACATCATCTTGATGTGGTAAACATTTGTCTGAAGTTTCATCAAAATTCTTCAAAAGGGTTGAAGAGTTTACAGAGCGGACAGGAATATTTCAATGTTAATGTCACTGTGACCTTGACCTTGGAGCCAGCCATGCGGAAACATGCGTTCTTGCACGTCATCTTTGATTTGGTAAAAACATTTGTCTGAAGTTTCATCAAAATTCTTCAAAGGGTTGAAGAGTTAGCAGAGCGGACACAATTTCGTTTGACGCCCGCCACGCACCCGCCCATACCCCGCCCAGCCGCCCATTTCCGCCCATACCGCCCATCCACCCCCATACCCCAAAGCCTAATAACCAGGATTTTCAAAAATTGAACCTGAGTTAATAACTAACTTGTACCATATCAATTAAACCATTTTTTTCAATTAAACGGCATGTAGCCATTATATGAAAAAAAAACTAATTTACATTGATCCCCCCCCCACCTTCCACTTTTTAAAGGGGACCATACCAGAAAGGGACACCCCAAAGAAGTTTTTGGCCCAAAGATAAAGGGCAAATTTTTTTTTAAGTTTTTAATAAACCCCTTCCCAGGGGAAAAAAAAAAGGCGGGGCATACAAAAAAAAGGTTTTTTAAAAAAGAAAGGGGTCAAAAACCGGGGGCACTTTTGCCCCTTTTTTTCCCTTTCAAAAAACTTTTGGGTTTTTTAATTTTTTTTTTTAAAGGAAAATTTTGCCCCATAAAGGGGTTTTCCTTAAAGTGGGTTCAGTTAAAATTAAAGAAAAAATAATAAACCCCTTACTATTTTAAAATTTAACCCAAAAAAATTTTCATTTTAAATTTTTAAAAGGACCTTAAAAAAACCTTTTTGAAAAATTAGTTTGACCCCAACCCCATGGGAAAACTAAATTCCAAATTTATCTTTTTGGAAAATATAAAAAAAGGATGGGGGTCATTCCAAAACTACATTTTTATAAAACCAACTTTCAAGGGATGTGAAAATTTGAAAAGATTTTTGTTAATAAAAGATAGTTTTCAAAATAATGGGGAGCGGGAAAAAACCTTTTTTTTCTTGACAATTAAAAAGACCCCCGTTTAAACCTTTTTGACCTTTGAAAAAATTAGTGGCCCCGCAAAAAATTCTATATGGGTCATCTACCCACAAAATGATTAACCAATATGTGGAAGTTTTTATGATGACTTTCTGATAAAATAAAAAAGTTTTCAAAAGATTAATAGGCGGAAACCCCATTCATGACATTTAAGGCACCCTGTGAAAATCATTGGACCTTTGGACTTAGTTTTATCCCAAAATCAAAAGGGGTTTTCACCTAATAATGATATGACCAATCAGTATGTGAAATTCGAAGACTTTGTGAAAAATAGCATTCAAGACACTGATTGGAAAAACAATGCCCCTGTGACCTTGACCTTTGACCAAGTTTTCCCAAAATCAATAGGGGTTATCTACTAGTTATGACCAATCAGTATATGAAATATGAAGACTTTGTGATAAACAGCTTTCAAGATAATGAGTGGAAACCAATCTGACATTTGAGGCCCCTGTGACCTTGACCTTTGACCTTGTAATCCCAAAATCAAAAGGGGTCATCTACTAGTTATAACCAATCAGTACATGTATATGTAATATGAAGACTTTGTAATAAATAGTTGAAACCATGTGGTCTACTGACAGACAGACAGACCGACTGACCAACCAAAAAGCAAAACAATATATACCCCGTCTTCTTGGGGGGCATAAATATATACCATAACATCAACTTTCATCACAAATAAAACAAGTATGAAATGAACAATGTATATTTCCTTGAATATATTCCCAACATATAGTTTAACCACAAAAAAAGCCATTGAAGTATAAACTAGACTTTACCTCTGTGTCAAATCATTAATGAATCTTGAGTTTTATGTTTTAGAAAACATGCAATACATATAATCTATAGATATCATTCAGAACTCGGCAAATGGCGGTTTTCCCCAGCTAATTCGTTGGTACAAACAAACTTTCACCATTATAGTTTCACTGTACACTACCCAACACAATAGATTAGTCAACCTGTTGCGCTTATTTTCAAAGCTGTAACTGTAAAAGTTTGTTTGTACCTACGGAATAGCTGGGAAAACCCCAAATATTCTTAATTCAGGAGTTAAGTCTATTATAATACTTTTTAGGTAAAACATGGCAGTCCCAGGAAAGAAAACATCAAAACAATTTTCATCATCAACAACATCCATGGCATCAGATGAAGATCTTCAACTTTACTGCCAGCCATGTGACGAGGAAGGAACTAGACTCCCTGCCCATGGTTACTGTACTGACTGCAAGGAACACCTTTGCAAGACATGCTTTACAGCCCATAAAATAAGTAGGCTTTCCAAACATCATAAACTTCAGGAGGCTAAGAATATGCCTAAAGTTTTGCAGCAACCATCAACATCCATTCACACAGGCCAGTCTGATGACCTAACCACACCCTGTCTTAAACATCCAAAGGAAATGATCAAGTTCTATTGTCATGATCATGAAGGATTTCTCTGCAGTGTTTGTGTTACCCTTGAACATCAAGCTACTTCCTGCAAAGTCAACTATATACCAGACATTTCTGGTGATATCATAGACAGCAAAGAATACCAAGTTATCTTGAATGCAGTAAATACCACTTCTGGCAAATTTCAACAGAAAGTAGAAGATGTCAAGAAAATGACATACAAATCCATCAGCTCTCTCAAGGAATCATTGGCAGAAATCAAAAAGTTTCGACAAGAAATCAACCAAAGACTAGATGAACTTGAGAGACAGACTGAAGATGCAGCTAAAGTTTTAGAACAAGAAAACAACAAACATCTGAAAGCAGTAGAAACAACATATGAAGACATAACCAAATCTTTGAAGGCATCGTCAGATAAAATCAAACAACTGAACACATCAAAACAATCTGACAAACTCTTCATGGAACTCAAACTTGCTGAGAAAACAATAAAAGATATGGAGGAAAAAGAACTAAAACTATCTTCATATGATTTCAAAGAGCACAAGTTTAAAGCAAATGTGGCAATATTAACAAAGCTTAAAGCAGAGAAGTCTTTGGGTACACTGATGCAGAGAACTTTAAATAAAGAAGCACTACCCATACAAACACAGTCTAGACAACCTACACATGAGGGAGATATCTGTGTGAAGACATCAAAAGATAAATACATGAGCTTTATAACAGGAATGACTCTGCTGACACCTGATCTTCTTATCATCGCTGACTACCAAAACTATGCTGTAAAGATGGTGGATACCAGCAGTCAATCTGTGTGTGAACAGCTACAACTAAATGATCAACCACGGGATATCACCCCAGTAACCAGTACTACACTTGCGGTCACACTTTCTTACAAATGTACAGTACAGTTTATAGCAATCTCATCAAATAAACTCACAAAGAGGCACACTATGAAGGTTGATGGTAAATGTTATGGTATAAGCTGTCACCAAGATAAACTTGTTGTGTCATTTTATAACCCTGCAAAACTTCAGATCCTTGATATGAATGGCACAATACTGACAACAATTGATGGAAAAAATATCTTTAAATCTCCATGGTATATCACATGTAACAGAAGTTCAATCTATGTATCTGACTGGAACATTAACACAGTTACAAGATTAAACTGGCAGGGTGATGTGGTTGGTAGTTATAGTGGTATGAGTGAGTCTAAGGGAATGTCACTGTCAGATGATGGTACTGTCTATGTGTGTGACTATGGGAGAAATGTAATACAAGAAATATCAGGAGATTGTTCTACAGGAAAGGTTGTGTTGAAGGATCCCGAAAAATTTTCCCCTATCTGCAAATGCTGGTTTGAAGGGAAAACAAAAAAGCCTGATTTTTGCAGTTCCGCCTGAGAAAAAACTTTCCCTTTATACGTATAAAAATTCATAAATTTTTAAAATATTATGACTTAAACTAAAAACACATACTTAAAAAATGCTTAAATTGGGACATTTAAAACCAAAATAGCAATACTTTTTTTATGAAAAAAATTTTTTTTAAAATTTAAAAATAAATGTAGGGGGAATTAGTTTAAAAAACAAAGGCCCAAAGTTTAATTACTGTGTTAAACCCCAAAAATCCCCCAAATTTAAACGGGGTTTTCCCCAAATATTTGTTGTTGTTTTTTATTGCCGATTCTAATAAATCAAAATCAAAAGGCACAGGTATCATCCACAAATAACCAGAACAAGAGGGCCATGATGGCCCGAGATCGCTCATCTGACCCATCAAACTCATCTGAACAATTACCTAGACAAGCATACTGACAAAGTTTCATGACAGGTGAGTCAACAATGTAACCACTAGAGTGTTTACAAGGATTATCCATATTTGAGCAGTGTGACCTAGTTTCTTACCCAGGTGACCCATATTCGAACTTGACCTAGAAAACATCAAAACAAACTTTCAGACCAATGTTCACGATACTTGGATCAAAACAGTTGCCACTAGTGTTAACAAAATTTTTCTATTTTTAGCTCTGGTGACCTTGTTTTTCATCCCAGATGACCCATGTTCGAACTCATTCGAGCAATTACCTAGACAAGGATCCTGACCAAGTTTGATGATAATTGTGTCAAAAATGTGACCACTAGAGTGTTAACAAGGCTTTTCCATATTTAGGCGGTGTGACCTAGTTTTTGACCCCAGGTGACCCATATTCGACCTTGACCTAGAAATCATCAAAACAAACTTTCAGACCAATTTACAGGATATTTGGATCAAAACAGTAGCCACAAGAGTGTTTACAAGATTTTTCTATTTTTAACTCCTGTGACCTAGTTTTTCATCCGAGATGACCCATGTTCGAACTCATCTGAGCTATCAACTAGATAAGCATCCTGACAAAGTTTGATGATGATTGAGGCAAAAATGTGACGGCGAATGTGTTAACAAACAAGTGTGGACAGACAACAGACATTCAACGATCCTAAAAGCTCACCCTGAGCACGCTCAGGTGAGCTAAAAAGACGATGTATTTGTTTAGGGTCTGTTGTCAGGCCTCGACATTAGCGGTGGTCCATTGGTCCGAGACCACCTGATTTTTTCAAGGACCACCTAATTTTACAGGCAACTGGTCCGTTAGACCACTTGAATTTTCCAAATGGTGCAGGGCTCATCTGGGAGAATGGTTATTTGGTTGAAAAACGTGTTCTATAATTGTCGTTTTAAACCATTTCTCCGATGTACAGGTATATGTTCATTCATCTCATAAGTTCAAAAAGATCTGAAGACATCCAAAACCTTTTATTAACTCGCTAACAGTGTAGTTAAAAAAGTAGAAAATTATTTTAATAATTAAAGTATAAAATTCATTCAAATGTCTCTTGTACTGCATTAAATTTATAACATTGTATCACTATGGGATATCGGATAAACACATGAATAATGGTGCAAACAAAGGCAAAGGAAAAATTAAATATCTAGTAATCTTTGGCTACTTTTTTAAACAATCAGAGATCCAATTTTCCTTATTTAAAGTACTTTAAAAGGTTATAAATACTTTGTCAAAAATAAATAAATTTCAACAAACAAGCATGTATAATAAATCTGTGAGGAAGATAAGCTCAATTATAATGTAGGAATTTTTCTGTTTATCAATAACATTTCATTGTTTCAAAGACAAGAAAATAATAACTTAATAGTTTAATTAAAAATGTTAATCTATAAAAAGCAATTATTATTCTTATCAGATGTACCAGGAAACAGCAATGAGTATTTGAATAACAGTAAGGAAATAAGTCAGACACAAATGGTTTCACTATTCATTAACTTGAGTTGCGGAAGAAGTCACTTAACCGAAGTATGAGTACTGTCATGTATTTTTCACTGAGATAATAAATACTTAATAGGATTACAATGACTTACTATCTGATCTTAAATTGAGATAGAAAATATACATGTTTTCTTCAGTTGTTATAAATCTAATAATAAATACATGTATGTCTCTGTCACTCATTTTAAGTGTAGTTCTTCTAAATCTGAAGTTTCCTTAAAAACAAATGAGTAAAAAAACAAGAGCTGTCCGTAAGACAGCGCGCTCGACTTTTTTATTGCTTGCCAATAAAAAAAGTTTTTGCAGTAAAAGGCAATACAAGAATCTCTGTATTTTTAAAGTGAACAATGGCCATGAGCATTAAGATATTTAGTGAAGAATTATTTTACTGAATTGTGTGATACCCTTACAGCAATGTTTATATGACATAATTTATGGTAAAGTGAACAAGTGGATAGGAATGAATTTTTTTAGATTTTTTAAGTTTTTTAGTGCTTGCCTATAATACAAAACATTGACAGTTAAGGGCCATAATTCAAATAAAATCTTTGACAGAATTACCTTCTCCTGGACATGTTTGGGAATCATGATTGTAAACAAGTATTCCAACTTTCAAATTAATATCTCAAACAGTTCAGTCAAAAAGTGGACTGGTACTAAAAACTTAACCAAGATTCTAAGTCGATAAAAGGCCTTAATTTTTAAAACAAATCCTTGACAGAGTTACCTTCTCTTGCGTACAGATGGGGGTAATGATGTGAAATAGCATTAAAAGTTTCAAAGCAATATCTCAAAGGGTTAAGGCAATAAGTGGATTTTACCCATATTCAATGTATTTTCTAAGTCAAAAAGGGGCATAATTCTGTCAAAAACCTTGACAGAGTTATGTCCTCTTGTCTGTTGATGAAGGTCGTGATGGTAAACAAGTATGGTCAGTTTCAAAGCAATACCTCCAATGGTTTTGAAATAAAGTGAGGTGGTACAAAAAACTTAACCAAGCTCAATACACTTTCTAAGTCAAAAAAGGGCCATAATTCTGTCAAAAACCTTGACAGAGTTATGTACTCTTGTCTGTAGATGGAGGTTATGATGGTGAACAAGTATGGTAAGTTTCAAAGCCATACTTGTAATACTTCTGAAATAAAGTGGGGTGGTACGAAAAACTTAACCAAGGTGTGACGCCAACGCCGACGCCGACGCCGGGGCGAGTAGGATAGCTCCCCTTTTCATAGAAAAGTCGAGCTAAAAATGGACCACCTTTGTTCAGAAAGGACCACCTGAATTTTGGATCCAGTGGTCCGGCATACCACCTGCTGAAAAAGTTAGTGTCGAGACCTGGTTGTAGTCATATACCACTGAAAATCAACATAAAAGTGAATCCCCTGACCAGCTTTTCTGGGTAACTAACTAGAGTAGTGATAACCAATTTCTATGTAAGTGATTAACTACTAATCCTATGTTATATCTGAATCAGTGGTGGAAGGAATATGACCAGTAGAGTAGACTCAATTTGAATATTCACTTGTCATGGAGAAATTACTCTTCCCCTTTGGATGGAACCAAGGACCTTTAATTACTAATCTCATGCTTTCCATATTGAGCTAAGTGAGCAGACAACACTTAACCAATGTTTAAACCCTTAACCTGCCAAATATGTTAAATGAACTTTTCCAGCTTCCATTTTTGGAACTGTTCATTATCAATTATGGGGGTATCAGGATAAAAATTTTAAATTAAGTCAGCCAGCAGACATCAGTATTTTGCTGGCATAAATGTTTTAGCTCTGGATATGAAGATGGTCATTATCAATTTTTAGAGATATCGTATTAATGACTAGAAATGTGTCATCATGCCACGGATGCCCCCGCATGCAGCCAAAATTTCAGATGGTGCATTAATTATTTTTTTCATTTTAAGTTCAAAGCCCTTAAAACTTTTCAATGTTAACACAAACCATTTTCATACAATGTTCAAGACACTGAAATTATTCAGTCTTAACCTTTTAAAAATAGCATATTGCATATTTGTAACCAAAATAATGGCTAAAAGTATGAGTGCTGAAACTGAAAGTTCAAAATTTTTCCAACATTCAGGAAAGATAAGTTTGTCTAAAGTCATTGAACCACAACCAAATTCAAACTTAAACTGCTTATTCCTAAGATGTATCTATATTATTTTCAAAGTGAAAGGGACATAACTCTGCAAAAAAATCATCAAACCATGACCAAATTCCAACTTGACCTGCCCATTCCTTTGACATATCCATATGTCAAATTTAAGTTGAATATGTAACACTGTTGGGTAGATAATGAACAGAAACTGTAAATTTCATATTATTTTCAAAGTGAAAGGGGCATAACTCTGCCAAAAATCATTGAACCATGACCAAATTCGAACTTGGCCTGGGCATTCCAAAAACATCCATATGTCAAATTTGAGTTGAATGTGTTGTACCATTGGGGAGATAATAAACGGAAACTGAAAATTTCATATTATTTCAAAGTGAAAGGGGCATAACTCTGCCAAAAATCATCGAACCATGACCAAATTCGAACTTGTCTTGTATTTTCTCATGACATATCCACAAGTTTGAGCTGAATGTGTTGTACCGTTGGGGAGATAATGAACGGAAACTGAAAATTTCATATTATTTTCAAAGTAAAAGGGGCATAACTCTGCCAAAAATCATCGAACCATAACCAAATTCGAACTTGACCTGTATTTTCTCATGACATATCCATATGTCAAGTTTGAGTTGAATGTGTTGTACCGTTGGGGAGATAATGAACGGAAACTGAAATTTCATATTATTTTCAAATTAAAAGGGGCATAACTCTGTCAAAAATCATAGAACCATGACCAAATTCGAACTTGACCTGTATTTTGTCATGACATATCCATATGTCAAATTTGAGTTGAATGTGTGCAACCGTTCTTAAGATAATGAATGGAAACTGATGATGACGGAATGACAGAAGGACGGAATGACGGAAGGACGGAAGGACGGAATGACGGAACAGGGTAACACTATATGCCCCGGCCATTACATGGCGGGGGCATAAAAATTTGAGAATATGATATAAATTTAAAATTTACCAGCAAACAGTATAGAGCCTGGTCAGACAACATGGATGTACAGACTGGCCTGCTTCTATACTGGTGACAAAGGTTAATCACTTGTGATTTGTAAAATGTTTGATAAAGAAAAGACAAGAGGGCCATGATAATCATACTTTACAAACCATAATACATGTTGCTGATAAACAACTCACCTCTGTAAGACTGAGAATGATCCAGCATTAATTCTGTGTACCCCATCCAGCACAGCAAGACTGCCCTCTAGTGCCGCAGTAACCAGGGGAGACAACCTCCATGCTGTATCACCATTGGCTAATGTAGTCCTCTGTTGTAACAGATCACGTGATGTCATATCCTGTACGTACATAATGTTATTTACTTTTAATCTGTAGCAGGTGACGCAAAAATTGTTCGTAACAAGTCTTTGAAATTTTAAATGAAACTATAAGTCAGTAAGTTTAAAATAATTATGAATTTAAAAAATTTAAAACATTTTTTATTTATAATTATACAATGTATATATAAATCAGTCACACATATAGATATACTTGAACTCTTAATAACAAGGCAAAATTAATATACTTAACTGACAAACATTATGTGATGAATATTGGCAAATAAGAAAGATAATTACATATGGCCATAGCCTATACAATATAAAAACATGGCTAAATTATAACATAATAAAACAAAATGAAAACCAGTTCTGTATCAACTATATTGTTTATCTACTATATTAAACATAGTAAATGTATCTACATACCTGATATAACATTATAGGTTCTATATGATATCCTAGCAAGTTCGCAAATCTTTTAACAACTGCTGTTTTACCACATCCCTGTAATTATTCCATATAACACACTAATTTTTCCATTTAACATAATTATTCCATATAACACATTAATTATTCCATATAACAAAGTAATTATTCCATATAAAACATTAATTATTCCATATAAAACATTAATTATTCCATATAACACATTAATTATTCCATATAAAACATTAATTATTCCATATAACAAAGTAATTATTCCAAATAACACAGCAATTATTCCATATAACAAAGTAATTATTCCATATAACACATGCATATCTGTATCTTAGGATAACTAATGATAATGTGTGCATCATCAATAAAATTAAATCTCACTCAATACACAAAACTCACTGTGAATGTTCTTGGTTTTCATGAGTATGTTAGAATAATCATTTATATAAATAGGGAGATTCTTTTGTTAAGTGTTCATTTACAAGGAAATTGTGTGACTGTGAATAATTCAATCCTAATGTTGACCAGATAATCGGGAGTAGTGGACTAGTGGTTAAGGTGTCTGCCTCTCAACCCAGGGTTCATGAGTCCGAGCCATAATTGTGTCCCACCCACGTTTCTTCATATGACACCAGTACTGGTTGGTTCCAGAAAGCGGACTCAAAAGTGATTTATATAAGTTGCAAGAACTTGTTTCGCAATCAAGCTTAAATAAATATGTTTAAACCAAACCAAACCAGGTTACCAATATTTTCTCACTGTATATCTACTTGTTTTAATAATATATGCATGTCAAATGAATATACCATTGCTGTAAAATATAATTCTCTGTCAACGTCAAAACAATTCTTATAGTTTGAAATATCCAGCAAAATATACATAAATATGTTCTGCAGCAATATACTGTAATATATTATTTCCATGTATTTCATTATAATACATGTCCGCCTGATTAGCTCAATAGGGAGAGCTTCAGACTAGTCACCCTGGGGTCACTAGTTCCATCCTCAAGCGAGGCAAAATTTCTCTGTGATAATCAATCTAAGACAATGAGTTTAATGGTCATTTGTCTCTCACCGCTGATTCAGAATTTATCTAGGATTTGTGGTTCAATTGCAGAGAAATTTGTAATTACTGGGTAGTTATCCAGTAAAGCCTGTTTAGTGGATTGACTGTCGAAATATGACCAAAAATATGTGTCAAAATTGATGTAAAAACTAGACAAACAAACAAATCAATGATATTATAACATACCCTGTCCCCTATCACACAGAAATCTTTAACAAGATGAGATTGTAACATGTCAGCCAGGAAACCATCATGATAACTTGTCTGTATAAACTTGTCACCACCAGATTGTCCTCCCTCCATCCTACCTGATTCTACCTGTAATAGTATATTGTAATATTTGTTATAATCATTTTGGACAGTTTATATGGCATACTAGTAGTTGATATAGTTTATCATTTCAGAACCTTTGAAGTAATGATTGAAGTTCTAAACTCAAAATTAATTTCACTAAGTTAAGACAGCATGATAAATTTAAAGTCCACAATGGAAAGGTCTAAATTCAAAGTAAATTTACTTCATCACAATCTTTGCAGAAAAAAAGCCAACACTTAAAACAAAACATTACCTCAATATTATAAAGAAAACATTACCTCAAAACTATAAAAAAAAATCATCTCAAAACTATAAAGAAAATATTACCTCAAAGCTATAAAGAAAACATTGCCTCAAAACTATAAAGAAAATATTACCTCAAAACAATAAACAAAACATTACCTCAAAACTATAAAGAAAACATTACCTCAAAACAAAAAAACAAAACTTACCTCAAAACTATAAAGAAAATATTACCTCAAAACAATAAACAAAACATTACCTCAAAACTATAAAGAAAACATTACCTCAAAACTATAAAGAAAACATTACCTCAAAGCTATAAAGAAAACATTGCCTCAAAGGTATAAACAAAACATAACCTGAAATCTATAAAGAAAACATTACCTCAAAACTATAAAGAAAACATCACCTCAAAACTAGAAATAAAACATTACCTCAAAACTATAAAGAAAACATTACCTCAAAACTATGAGTATTTCTCCCAGTTTTCAGAGAAACATTGGTCCCTTCTTTCAATCTCTCCACTGACACAAGATTACTCTGTTCAACTTTAGAGGTAGGTATATCAAATTTCTGAAATAAAAAACAATGTCAATATTTACTAAAACTCTGTTAGTTACAATACTAGTAGATATACAGTATATATACATGGTCACACTAGTCTGCCAGTCATCAAATATGTACAGTCTGACCGGACACTTTGATACTGTGAGGCAGACTGTGAAAACTACTGACACAAAATCTACTATAAAAAGTTAATTTATATAATAACGTTTTTCAAAGCCTGTGTTACAACTTTATTTATAACATATATCATAAGGAATTGCAAGGATATCTAGAACTACACCTCTGTACTTTATTTAAAACTATAGAATACTCTACTTATACATTATTTATTACACTGCAATGAAAGTCTAAACATGTTAACCATTTGTGAGAAAAATGACCATAAACAATATATACAATGTGTTCAACTAAGTACCTGTCATTGTACATGTTAAAATATTTGTTACCTATAAACATACTTAATTGGTAATTTATTAACATAATTACAAGTAATTGGTAATTTACAAAAATGATTAATTGGTAATTTATTAACATAATTACAAGTAATTGGTAATTTACAAAAATAATTAATTGGTAATTTATTAACATAATTACAAGTAATTGGTAATTTACAAAAATAATTAATTGGTAATTTATAAACATAATTGATTGGTAATTTATTAACATAATTACAAGTAATTGGTAATTCACAAAAATAATTAAGTGGTAATTTATAAGCATAATTAATTGGTAATTTATAAGCATAATTAATTGGTAATTTATAAACATAATTAATTGGTAATTTATAAGCATAATTAATTGGTAATTTATAAACATAATTAATTGGTAATTTATTAACATAATTACAAGTAATTGGTAATTTACAAAAATAATTAATTGGTAATTTATTAACATAATTACAAGTAATTGGTAATTTACAAAAATAATTAATTGGTAATTTATTAACATAATTACAAGTAATTGGTAATTTACAAAAATAATTAATTGGTAATTTATTAACATAATTACAAGTAATTGGTAATTTACAAAAATAATTAATTGGTAATTTATAAACATAATTGATTGGTAATTTATTAACATAATTACAAGTAATTGGTAATTTACAAAAATAATTAAGTGGTAATTTATAAGCATAATTAATTGGTAATTTATAAGCATAATTAATTGGTAATTTATAAACATAATTAATTGGTAATTTATAAGCATAATTAATTGGTAATTTATAAACATAATTAATTGGTAATTTATAAACATAATTAAGTGGTAATTTATAAGCATAATTAATTGGTAATTTATAAGCATAATTAATTGGTAATTTACAAAACTAATTAATTGGTAATTTATAAACATAATTGATTGGTAATTTATAAACATAATTAATTGGTAATTTATAAACATAATTAATTGGTAATTTATAAACATAATTAATTGGTAATTTATAAACATAATTAAGTGGTAATTTATAAGCATAATTAATTGGTAATTTATAAGCATAATTAATTGGTAATTTATAAGCATAATTAATTGGTAATTTATAAACATAATTAAGTGGTAATTTATAAGCATAATTAATTGGTAATTTATAAACATAATTAATTAGTAATTTATAAACATTATTAATTGGTAATTTATAAACATAATTAATTGGTACATACAGCTAAAGCATCAGTGACAGCAGTCTGGCCTTCTTTACCCATCATAACATTATATGGATATAATCTCTGTATTAAAGAATGTAGACTGGTTTCTGGCATCACATCCTGGAAATAAGAATATTATAATCATATACCATTATAATACCTGTGTTAGTACACTGGTTCCCTGCATTCTGCAAAGAATGTCTTTTAATACATTAGCCGATTAGGTTCAATACTATTGAACAATTTGTATACATAAATATTTTGTAAGCCTCCGGCGAGCATAATATATTATTTTATTCACCAAGTTCAATAAATTTAGTAATAAAGCTACATGAATATGACGTCCTATTTATCATATATCCAAAAGGCAAGAAAGTAAGGCAAGTAAGAATCACTTTTTCATTAACGCGCCTATAATGTAACACTCTGTGTTTAAATAATGCATTGTAAAATACATGCATGACAGTTCAATACCATTTTAACGACGGCTCAAAATTCGGTCAGGTATGTGATAATCAAATGTCAATTTGCTAGCTTACCAGAACTTTAGCTAAATCATGTAAATTGGATACAGGAAAATCAGGGAGACCGAGAGAGGTTGATTCTTTGGACACCATCGTTGAAGCAAACATCAACATCTTTGTCAATCTGTTGATAAAACATAATTATATATAAGAGACTCCTTATGAAAATGTTCAGGAGTTGGATGTACATTGTGTAAAATTAAAATGAAACAGTTGTTAAAAGTTTTGCTAAAGACATGTACATTGAACTTCTAGCTCAGTTTTGTGTCATGTATGTGTCATACCATTAGTTTCAATTTTCATGTCTTCTTTAATGTTTCATTAGTAGAAAATGTTCTATAAGTACATGTACTCATATAATAAAACATTCAAGACAAAAATACATGATTTAGAAAATGTCTCAAAATATGAGCTATCTATTTAGAAAACATAAAAGTGAAAAAGTACATTAATACATGCTATAAAGTTTACAATACTCCTGTTTTTAAATTGCCACATTTTTGAGAGGAAGAACTAGAATAGTAAGGTACTGTATCTATGATATAATATGATATAATTTTCTAGAACATTGGAACCAGACTTACCTATCAGATTTCACATTGGGGGCAGATTCTTGTAATAATTCCAATTCTTCATTAAATGGAAGCTGATTTACATCACGTGCCTGAAACCTTGATCTTAGAGGGGGATCTAGAGGATTGCCTTGGTAACGAGGTACTGGTAGTCCAAGGGCAATAACTCTAAACCTTTCATCTACTCTAACAAGTTTTAACTCGTCTAATTCTTCTCTAGAATGTTCCTGAAAAACCAAATACATGTATGAATAATGAGTACATGACTGTGTACTATAAATATGTCTACATAGGATGAATTATTCAGTTTATTTTTATAAGAAAATAGTCTTTCCTGTCTGTAGTATCTCTGCTGTTTGGAAATCTGGAAAATCTTTGCACTAAGCTGTCTGGGAATCTTGATGTTATTTGCACTAAACTGTTTGGAAATCTGAGTTAAGGCTTTATTTTTTTTCTTTATATATGGACCTTAAATAAGTCTTTCTTTGTAAGATGTTAGGTCATAATGATGTTGGTATGTTACTGGCAACAATTTCAATCATCCACTTGTATTTACAAGAAGAATCTGAGAGAAATTGCAAACAAGTAGAAAATGTAGGCTGTCAATGTAAGCAGCTTAATATTTCGGCAGGACAAGTGGCTCTGAAAATAGTTCTTGATCACTGGACAAGTGATTTCAAGATATATGATAGAAATCATATCTTATAATCTGCTTACCTGTAGAAGTTTGTCATATCTGTCGGACGCCACTAGGAATCGTCCATCTTCCAGCTGCATTTCCCGATTTTCTAACAGATTATTAAGTATAGGTAAAACATTCCTCTCTGCCTTCTCTATACCCTCCAGTATAAGTATGTGACCATTGATGGCTGCCCGAACTGCAGACTGTCATAAAATATAACACAACATTTAATACATATATATACATCCTTTACTGCCCTGCAAAATTGTGGTCACTTATGCTGTATATTTACATAACACATAACTTCTCTGCTTCTGACAAAAGTGATCATTTTGTATATCGTATTAAATTTATAACTTAATATAAGATACAAATTACACACTGTAATATCTCTCTTACAAATTTATAAAACAATAATTCTATCATTTCTTTCATAGCTAACAGATGTATATCATTATATTATTAGAAGTACACAAAGCTTCATGACCATAGCTTTACATTATTTTTCTATTTATTTTACATTATTTTTCTATTTATTTCAAACTGATTGTTATGCTTGTCTTAATGACCTAGTTCTGTTCCCATAGTAAAATTATGACCCAAACAGAAATCTTGAATAAGACACCTTAAGGCTATATATTGTGGCGGCATGGCCGAGTGGTTAACACAATAGACTAGTAATCTAAGGATTGATGACTGCGTGGGTTCAAAAGCTGTCAAGGGCAAGTCGTTGTGTCCTTGAGCAAGAACCTTTACATTCATTGGTTGGTTTTAGGAACGGATTCGAGAGTGTTTTAATAAGCTTACAGCTTCCAACACAATCAAACAAAAAAAAATATGTATAAACTAAACCAAGGCTATAAGGTGTTCATCTATCTACCTTTTATGTTGATATGATCTAACAGAAACAGAGAGTTTACCTGATCTAGATAGAATGCACTACCAGCACGTATTTCTCTCCTCTGTTTTAAATCAGCCTCAGTTGTGTCCCTTGACAGTGAGATATACTCGCCCTCCCTCCGTGTTAGCTCCTGCAATAAAGCGGAATTTTATTACAATGCACCAAAATAATTTTTTTTTTCTTCCAATTGGTAAATTAACATTAACTAATAACATCTTGACTAGAAAAAATATTCTTTAAAAATTTGACAATATGACAAGCAAATAGAACATTGAAATAGTAAAACAAATACAATTTATGACTAAATACTGCACACTACTCATATTCTGATTTTGAGGTTTTTTTAAACCTGTTGTCTTTTCAGTTTTCAGCCTGTCTTTCTAAGAAGTAAAAAAACAACAACAAAACATGATTGATAATATTTAAATAGATACTCACCAAATACATCATAGCTAATTGTCTTCTTAACGGCCCAGGAGCTCCTATTAGAAACACATCCTGTCCTAACAAATCCTAAATGAATAAAAGAACATAGTCAATAAAGCAGCAAAAACAATACATGTATAATTATCATTAAATTAAATATGACTGATAATATACTATGTGACACATAAATTACATTGACAATCACATGTCTGAAGAAAATACTGGACTATTATTTACTGCAACATAATTACATGTAATTGACAATTATCACCAATAGCCTGATCAAAGATGACTGCTTATTTTACCAATGTAACCAAAGCAATCCAAAATTAGCTTGGCACATCTGTGCCATATGATCACGGTCTCCACTGTTTGCTATTCAGTTGGTACTTATTTTCCCCTAAAAAATGATTTCTGGTCTTGTCCTGATAAAAAGAGCTGGACAAGTCCATTTAAAAGTTGAGCAAGGGTTGTATGTCTGCAACTTAAGGACAACTAATCGTGTTTTTCCTTAGCTTACCTAACAAAAGCATCTACATACAGGTAATAAAGAAATATAGAATATAAAAACACTTTATTATTCAACAAAATCATTAACAAATTACATAATCATATTATTTTCCGTCAATCAATAATATATCCAGCATAACATACCTTCTGCATGATCCATTTTAAATTCCTTAAAACTGATTGTGGTAGTTTCTCAGGCACTGAAACAATAACACATACAATATGTAACAGAGTTGAGCTACTTAATAATCAAAGATAAATATCTTATAGTTTAAAATGATTTCATGAATTAAATAAAGTATTCATCAATGTGCCTTATTAGCTTTTCTTAAACGTCTTTGTATGTAATCTGACAGAGAGTGACTTTGATTTAAAGAGACACCTCTTTGACCTATATGAAAAATTAAGTTAATTGTTTAAAAAATGTGGAAAAAAATAGAATAAAAATTTAAGAAAGCCTGCAACATGTTTACTAGTACCAATAACAGAAATATCTTGGTTGTAGATCTAAGTCACTTGGCTACTTTCCAGCTCTAAATTTAAAGATGCTAGAAGTTGGTTTGACACCAAGACACATAGAGGATATTTGTTTGTTTTGCATGTAAGATTGAAATATAATTTCACTGAGTGAACACCAGATGCAATATTTTCACGAGTGGCGTAGCCACGAGTGAAAATATAATAGCTGGTGTTCACGAATGAACTATATTTCAATCTTATATGTAAAACAAATAAATTTTCTTTTTATTTCATGCGTTTCAAGTGATTTTAGGTAATTTTTACTGATTTTGCCGCGTAACGTCGCGCATTCTCCTTCGTGACGTCATCACATCATGACGTCACATCAACAAGTTTGAAATATAGTTCTGTTAAATTTCTCTAATTTTGTTACATTTTTAACATAATGTATGGTGACATCGACTTTCTTTTCCGAAAGAAGCAAAATTTACGCATGACGGCATTTATTTTTGCCTGTTATTCCATTCAGTTTTGATTTTCTTTTCATCCGCATTCAGATATAGTCCGGCTACAGTGAAAATTATATTTTATAAATATCACTAGTGGTTTATCAGAATATAATCATCTGATATATTACAATAAAACACTGGAAAGCATGAAATAATGTGATATCTTTAGCACAAGAAGGCAAATAAGTGGAGCCACCAACCTTCTATAATCGAGCTGGACAGCTCTGATATCAGACAAAAAACCTGAACAAGTCTACCACAGAGGCTCTAAACATACACACAAAACTTGTAAACATAAAACTAAACTCTCTTACAATAGTGTTTTGGCACATATTCTGGATTCTTTGGTGTTGAGATCTTGATGCTGACACCACCAATGCTAACAGAGTTAGAACCTTGTAAATAAAAATAAATCAATTAAAAACATGTAAAAAATATAATAAATCAATGTTCGATGATGCAGTATGCAAAATGATCTTTTTCTAAATATATATTTCATACTGCATGTGATCAATGTGATTTACAGAAGAACAAAACAAGCTTAGATATATGTGAAATTTTAAGCGAATATCCTTTGCTGCTTGCAGTCGAGAAGTAAATCTTGCACACAAAACTTAAAGATTTATAAGAATTTTGTATGATCCCATATATATGACTATACAGTAATCCAAATCCTTGAAAGCTTTAATTATTAACTTCCAGGGCCTTTTTACTTCTATAGCTGGGGCCCATTATAGGCTGCATCCCCTCAAGAAAAATCTTTAAAATCATGCAGTTTCCCCCTTTATATCAATTTATCCAATTCTGTCTTCTGGAATCCCTATTTTAACTGACTATGTTAATTTTCCCCAAATCTAACTGAACCTTCCAAGATGAAATAACACCAGACTTTGCTTGATTTAGTTCAGTTTGTAGTACTAGTAGTTAGATTGGTCTTGAACCCAAAAATTAAACCTGAGATTTTGTAAATTTCACAACTAAATTGGAAATAAGTGAATTAAAATCCATGCAAGAGTTATTGGTGTTGGACAATTTTCTTCATATAAGATCTATTTATCTATTAGTATTACGGCTATATAATAATTATACATATATTATTATAAATTATAGCAGCTGCATGCAAACTTTTAACCATAATTCTTCTTAAATTTAAAATTATAACAATCACAGTTGCAAGTCCAAAGATCAAAAACTTTCAGTGTGGCTAATACTATGCTGCAAATTTGTATTGGCATGCACAATCTACATACAAATTGAGAACATAAGTTACAATTGTTAACCTTAAAGGGTCAAAATCTGGAGCAACAAGCTTAATCTAAATTTGAAATAATGTTCTCTTGCTCGATTTTACTTAACAACCGAACAATCAAATGATTTTACAGATTCATGGAATTACTTATGTCACATAAGTACTAGCTAGCATTCACTAAAAAAAGTTTAAAGTATTCATTAACCCTTTCCCCCATGAGCATATCGTGAAAAATGGCCATTTTAACTGAAAAGCCTCCTCTTACAAGTTCAAACTGCTATGAAACTATGAAAAATGCTTCAATACTAATCAAACTTGGCACAAATGTTGACTGGACCATTGCCTTTGTAACGACATGCTCAGTCTTAAATTTCCTGTTACCATGGCAACGAGGGGACATCTCAAAATTGCCAAAAATCACTATTTTGCCTCGATTTTTTCCATCAAAATTTATTTCAAAGTGCTGCAACTTCTCAATGGATTGAGATAGAGTCAAAGGCTTTTCAGCGTTGGTTACACGTTACTTTATGATCAACCTGGGGTCATTTTAAGCCTCTCACAAGTCCAAAATTTTCTTGGCGATGAGGGGGACTCCGCCCCCCTTCAAACCCCCCAAACAGAAGGGGGCACATCCCCCTTCCGGCAACCCTCTGATGTATTATTTGGATGGGGGACGGCGCCGAAAAAATGGTCACTTTTTTTAACAACATTTCTCAAACGAAAAACAGTGTTTGGGGTCTAAATAGGACATTTTTTCACTGTTTGAGGCCTCAAAAAGGGGGGGGGGGCAAAAAGCCGTCGAAACACGCTTATATAAGGGAAAAGGTTAACAAAAAATGATGAAAAACCTTGGAATCACCCAAAATCTAGTTTTTCCATGTTAACATGTGGTCTTTTACCTAATTTTGGTGAAAAATTGTTGTTTTGTAACATTTATATTTTTTTAGTTAACCCTTTCCCCCATGAGCATATCGTGAAAAATGGCCATTTTAACTGAAAAGCCTCCTCTTACAAGTTCAAACTGCTATGAAACTATGAAAAATGCTTCAATACTAATCAAACTTGGCACAAATGTTGACTGGACCATTGCCTTTGTAACGACATGCTCAGTCTTAAATTTCCTGTTACCATGGCAACGAGGGGACATCTCAAAATTGCCAAAAATCACTATTTTGCCTCGATTTTTTCCATCAAAATTTATTTCAAAGTGCTGCAACTTCTCAATGGATTGAGATAGAGTCAAAGGCTTTTCAGCATTGGTTACACGTTACTTTATGATCAACCTGGGGTCATTTTAAGCCTCTCACAAGTCCAAAATTTTCTTGGCGATGAGGGGGACTCCGCCCCCCTTCAAACCCCCAAACAGAAGGGGGCACATCCCCCTTCCGGCAACCCTCTGATGTATTATTTGGATGGGGGACGGCGCCGAAAAAAAATGGTCACTTTTTTTAACAACATTTCTCAAACGAAAAACAGTGTTTGGGGTCTAAATAGGACATTTTTTCACTGTTTGAGGCCTCAAAAAGGGGGGGGGGGCAAAAAGCCGTCGAAACACGCTTATATAAGGAAAAGGTTATCAAAAAATGATGAAAAACCTTGGAATCACCCAAAATCTAGTTTTTCCATGTTAACATGTGGTCTTTTACCTAATTTTGGTGAAAAATTGTTGTTTTGTAACATTTATATTTTTTTAGTTAACCCTTTCCCCCATGAGCATTATCGTGAAAAATGGCCATTTTAACTGAAAAGCCTCCTCTTACAAGTTCAAACTGCTATGAAACTATGAAAAATGCTTCAATACTAATCAAACTTGGCACAAATGTTGACTGGACCATTGCCTTTGTAACGACATGCTCAGTCTTAAATTTCCTGTTACCATGGCAACGAGGGGACATCTCAAAATTGCCAAAAATCACTATTTTGCCTCGATTTTTTCCATCAAAATTTATTTCAAAGTGCTGCAACTTCTCAATGGATTGAGATAGAGTCAAAGGCTTTTCAGCGTTGGTTACACGTTACTTTATGATCAACCTGGGGTCATTTTAAGCCTCTCACAAGTCCAAAATTTTCTTGGCGATGAGGGGGACTCCGCCCCCCTTCAAACCCCCCAAACAGAAGGGGGCACATCCCCCTTCTGGCAACCCCCTGATGTATTATTTGGATGGGGGACGGCGCCGAAAAAATGGTCACTTTTTTTAACTTTTTTGACTGACAACTGTTAGCTTGTAAAGGTTATCAATCAATTATTTCATAAAATAAAAAAAAACAACAAATTCATTCATAAACTAACCTTCAGTTGTCTTTGAGCATAATCGGCACGGTTCAATCCTCAGAACTTGACCATCCCCCACCCGCAGGATGGACCTCAAGTCCCTGAGACGACGTAGACTTCGATCTACGCTCATTCGTAGTGGTAGCCTCATATGGCATCTATACCCCTTTACAGATTCAGATCACGTGCTAGTGTCGTTTTGACACTTTATTTGTTGATAAAATTCAGGTTAAAAGTTCACAAAATGTGTCGTTCCCCATTTTTCTGTCATCAAGGTCATCAGAAGCTTTTCATAAATGAGATTAAGCGTCTATCATGATCAGCACTCAATACATATCGTACCAATTTTATTTCGTTCCTAATACCAGAGTATTTATAATATTTCTTTATTACCTAGGTTTCAACAGCGATAAAGATTTCGTCACTGGTCCAATACACGTTTATAATTACACAGAATTATATTACAAATTGCTGTTTTATGTATTACACAATTTAAATAGATTTAATTACATTCATTAGCTGTCAGTTATATTTTAAAGACTTTGTTTAAATACTTGTCAAATACCTTCCAAATTCACCCTGCTTTATAATCATTCAAATGAAAGATATTATCATAACTGGGATAGAGATAAAACTTTTTTGTTATCCTACGATGTAACTCAGTGAGAAAGGAATATTTTCTAGTATTTTGACATATTTTAGGTAGTTTTTATTTGTTTGGGTCGTCAGACCAAACAAATAATGGTAGCGAAATTTCAGACCCTGATGCTGTTAATTGCAAATGCCGAAAGTAGTCCACTTTTTTGAAGCGGTTACTTCCCTTTATATGTACACTAACGCTGAAAAATTCAGGGGAGATGGTCAAATGACAGGCGCATTAATTTTCAAGCAAAATAGTTCCCGGATGGTCAAAGATTTCTAATATTGTTTTATTCTTTATAGATATACATGCTTATAGTAAGCTCCATGATTATTTACATCTGTGTTAAACAACAGCGTGGAAATAATAAGGGTTACAAACCCTAGTTTAGAAAAATATGGTTTTCTTCAGGTCGTTGACATATAGCTTCTACATGGCCGAGGGGTTTTCGCCCCGCTTAGGAAGCGAGAGTTCTGGAGTTCAAATTAAGGCAACTCATTTTTTTTTCAAATTGTTTAAGTCAAATAAACATTGAATTGAATATCAGTGTTGCAATAAGTCTTACAGCCAATTTACTACAATTAAAACGCTGGAAAGCATTGGTGGCACTATACAAAAACAAATTGGTTTATAATCTCACAACCTTCACCTTTCTGACATTCTGAGACCCAAACAAATTCAGCGCCTTCTGTGCTTTGATTAATCTATGTCAACATGTGCTTCTCAAATTTACTTCACTTTTTCACTTGATAAAATTTTACCATTTAAAACTTTATAATTATTTATACCTGCATGGCAGTCGTGGCAACCCTTAGGAAAAGGAAAGGCATTTAACTTGCAGTTATTTAGCATTGTTTTTCTGACCAGTTTTAACCATTTATTAAGCAGTTTTCCTTGACAAATGTGATTATGTAGAAAGCATTTAAAATGCAGTTAAAATGCATTTAAAATGCAGTTATTTAGCATTGAAAAAGCATTGAAATCAGCCGAAATATGTAAATGAGATGACATCATAAAACTGCCTCCAAATATGGAGATAGCATTTCCAACCATTTATATGACCTCATAAATAACTGCCAAAAAATTGTGTTTGCATTTTCAACCATTTATATGACATCATTAAAAACTTTCAAAAAACTACTGAAGCCTTTATATGACCTCATAAATAACTGCAAAAAAACTTTCAAAAAACTGTTGCATTTATTTGAGCTAATATAATACTGTTAACAACTGTTCACATCTGAAAATAAATGTTTACAATGTAAACTATGCCAATATGTAAAGTATTAGAGAAAAATATTTATCATTCATGATTTTGTAGTTTTACCGGTAATCAAGTTTTAGTTTTATTCTATATAAAACGTTAAAACAGGTCAAAGTAGATAATTGTGTTTCTTGAATAAAGTAAAACTGATGCAATTTTTTTTAGAAATTACTATGCATTGTAGGAGCATGGTCTAGATCTATTTGCATATAAATTTATGTGTAGATATAATTTTAACTTTGTAACTTTATTGTTATGTCTCAAACAAATTTTGTCATAACCATACATTGATACAATTCTTATGATATTGTGATGCTCAGGCTATTTTAACAATGTTTTATTACTTTTATTTATTTTCCGACTTTGAGTACGAATATTTCTGAGTACGAACCATCGCATTGTTTTGATGATTACTTTCTATGTAACTGCTTTTATCTCACATTATTATGATTTTCAGATGCCATTTGTATATATTAATGTTTATTATCTATTCTTAAATGCTGACATACGTTTATTTTCATGTAATCTTGCTTAATATTTTGTCACATTTCTGAATTTGCCACTGGTCGGCCATTTTGAATATTAATGTGATGACGTCACAGGGTACTATAAATACTGCGCGTTAGCATATCGTTGTCATCTCATATCAGGTCGTCTGGTAGAAAAGTACTCTATTGAGTAGATAATTGTAGACGATTAAATAACTGAAAATGGATCAGATACAGGTGAAATTCACTTGTTGTTATTGTTAAACAGTTATAATTACTTTGCCAGTGTAGAGAACGGTTGTTCCAGAAATGGTTCATACCAAATCTGGTATAATACCCAAACCGGTATAGTACCCAATCTGGTAACTACCAGATCTGGTATCTCATTATATTGTACCAAACCTGGTACTTGTTTACTGAAATCTGGTCATCTATAGGAATAATAATAATAGACTTTAGGCATCCATGACTATGTATATTTAAATAAATTGATCTATATAATATTTTAATTAAAAGAGTTTTAAGTTACAAATTGTCTTATGTGTTCATTTATAATTTGGTACTTGGGCCGTGTAAAACGAACCCTGGGTTAATTTGAGGCTGCAGACTGCCCTGGAAACACTAAGCAGGGGTCTGGGCACCACAATATTGTTTTTTCCTTAGCTGTCCGTCTGTTGGTCCATCCGTCCTCATTTGGATTGTCAAACAACTGTTGGGATTTTGATCAATCTTCACTGGATTGATCAGTACCAAACCTAGTTGTGCATATCCCTAGCACTTTCTGTTTTGATGCACAAAATGGCCACCATAGCTAAAAATAGAAAAAGCTTTGTGCAGCTTCACAGATCAAACTGCTAGTAAGATTTACACCAAACCCTGGTTATGCATATCTCTGTCACATTCCCTTTTGCTGCACAAAATGGCTTCCAGAGCTAAAAATAGAAAAACCTTGTTTGACTCGTATGTCTAGCTGCTGGTGGGATTTTTACCACAATTCGCAGGACGCACAGTGATCAGTCCCAACCCTTTGGTCTTTCTGCACGCAAGCATACTCTTCAAGAACAATGTAGACCTAAGCTTGTTATCAAGTTAGGATATTGCTGAATTAAGAAACAAACTTACAATTAATGATTATTATTAGACCACTTTGTTTAAGTAAATGTCTAAATATAATTAGAAATGACAGTGGATTAGTCTGATAACATGGTATGATATTAGTTATGTGATGTACCTTACATGTACATGTACTTTTGATAGTTATAATATGCTTATTATATATACAAGTTGTACACATACAATATTGCTATGATGCACTACAAGGTATTAAGTGAATATTAGTGTGCATGAATTATATTTTCCTAAAAGCATTTAAATAAAACTTGTAAAAACTGCAGCTTCTGTCACAATCTTTTAGCTTAAAAAAATGGTTCAAGAAAATAACTTGTAAAAAATGGTAATGTAAGTATTGTTTAACATCACCATTTATTTTTAAATGTTGAAAAACTGGTAAAAAATGCTGGACACAAGTTTTTTAACAACAAGTTTTTACCAGTTTTTTAAGAACTGCTGTTTAAATGGAATCCTACAAATTAAGATGAAGGGCAAAAAATTGTAAAAAAGGCATTTATTTGAAAAAACTGCTAAATAACTGCAATATAACTACAAGTTAAATGCCTTTCCTTTTCCTAAGGGAAGCTTCTTTAAGAGTAAAGTCTGGACAGAAGAAATGTTGATAATTCTAAACACATGCCACACTCATCAATTATATATTTATATATATACCAATGACAATCTTACATTATAGTGCAACAAGAAACATGGCAATGCCATGAAACCAGGTTTTCAATTATCACCATTATAGATAAATATGTTGTATTTGAAATACAAATACAAGCAACAAACAATGTAACTATGTGCAATGTAAAACATGAATAATGTAGGAGGAATTGCCACAGAGGAAGTGTTCACTATAATTATATTCTGTATAAGGAAAAAAAACAAAGGCCCATAATTAAATAAAAAATTATTCAATCACAAAACCCCGACAATATGCGCCAGGGCACTGGATGACAAAGCTACTGTGAAAGTTTGAACAAAATCTGTGAGAAATGTAGGAGTTCAGCACAGAAGAATTTTTTCACTATATATTCTGTATAAGGAAAAATAACAAAGGGCCATAATTAGGTCAAATATTATCCAATCACAAAACCCCGATAATGTGCACCAGGGCACTTAATGACAAAGCCTCTGTGAAAGTTTGGTCAAAATCTGTTGAGAAATGTAGGAGAAGTTGCGCATGGTAAAAATTGTTCACTATGTAATCTGTATAAGGAAAAAAAACAAAGGGCCATAATTAGGTCAAATATTATCCAATCACAAAACCCCGATAATGTGCCCCAGGGCACTTGATAACAAAGCTACTGTGAAAGTTTGGTCAAAATTTGTTGAGAAATGTAGGAGAAGTTGCGCATGTTAAAAATTGTTCACTATATAATATGTATAAGGAAAAAAAACAAAGGGCCATAATTAGGTCAAATATTATACAATCACAAAACCCTGACAATATGCCCTAAGGCACTTGATGCCAAAGCCTCTGTGAAAGTTTGGTCAAATTCCGTTGAGAAATGTAGGAGGAGTTGCGCACAGAAAATTGTTCACTATATATCCTATATTGGGAAAAAAAACAAAGGGCCATAATTAGGTCAAATATTATCCAATCACAAAACCCCGACAATATGCGCCAGGGCACTTGATGACAAAGCCTCTGTGAAAGTTTGGTCAAAATCCATTGAGAAATGTAGGAACAGTTGGGCACAGAAGAAATTATTCACTATATATCCTATATTGGGAAAAAAAACAAAGGGCCATAATTAGGTCAAATATTATCCAATCACAAAACCCCGAC